ATTTGATGCTAACATTAAGCATAATAACTAAACTAATAAATGTCAAATAAGAAGAGCATATCCTTACAATCAGTAGTCCAAAAGCATCCTCTTCAGTGTCATTTTCTATGAGTATTGGGCCATCACCCATCATATCAGCTCCAGCAACATCTCTCATCACCTTTTAGTAGCTTAGCTTTCAAACAAATTAAATGCCCCAGGCCCCCAACATGTTAAAATATCTGTGCGGACGCCGCATAGATATATCATAGATGAGATTAATTATTTTGTGCGGACGCCGAACGTCATCCGGAGATCAATCAGAATGTACTACGTCACCCCGTGTTCGATACCGCAACTCGTTACTGCTGACGTGACGCATTCTAGTTGATATCCGGAAGACTTTCTACGTCGGGTCTCCGCATACCGCATAGAATAATTTCTCCATAGATAGAGATACAAATGATTAGAAAATATATTGTTGACTTAGGCTTCGTTTTGGGATAGCTTTCTTACTGATTTATAAAATAATTTTTTAGTACAAATTTTCTAATCCAAGAAACTTTTATACTAGAAAGATATTTAAGAAAGCAAAAAAAAAAAAGCTGTTGTAAACAAAGCCTTAGATGATATGTTAGAAAATGTGTAAAATAAAGAAGCAGCTAATGCTACTCATTAACCTATATAGTTAGTGATAAGATTAATGATAATGATATGAAATGGATGCTTTCAACAGCTTGATTTAAATGTCAAATGTGACAAGTTAGCAAATGAAAATAATAAAAAGAATAATAACAAGTCTTTATCCCATCATGTGAGGTTGACAATAGATAAAAATAAATGAAAAATAATAATATCAAGATACCGTAGTTCAATTTGTAACAAGGTGAGCTTAAATGTTCTTGAATTTACAATAAAATTAATAGAGTTTATGGTATCATTATAAGTACTAATCTCAACACATTCAAGAACAGGGTCAAATTACATCCTTATATAATTTTTTGCAAAATAAATTCTTTTGAGATTTAATGATTTTTAAAAAGGCATAAACACAACATTACAATAAAAAAGATTTATACTAAGTGATGACACAATAGCAACGCCTAAATATGATGTATATCTAAATCTTATCATGTGCTAAAAAATATAGGGTCAAATTCTCATTAAATTTAATAAAAAAAAAGGTTAAGCCAAGTCTAATACCTTTCTTAACATAGGACAAGTCCAATCATCAAAAAGTCGATGTTTTATGTGTCTAAATCATCTAAGGTCGATCTTTTTTTCACGTACATACTTGTTTCGCATTATGTCTCTTAAGAGTGAAGCCACTTATCCACCTGTGCATCCTCATCTCTTCAACGTTTAACTTTATGTTTCTCTTTTAATGGCTATCATTCTGCATCAAAAAGTATTGCAGATCTCATTACTATCTTATAGTATTTTCCATTAAGTTTGAGGGATACTTTTCTATCACACAACAAGCCCGTGCATTCCTCCACTTCAACCATCCAACTTGAATTCAACTAATATTATCTCATCTATTTCGCTATCATTTTGAACAATAGATCCAATATATATATATATATATATATATAACTTTTATTAATGACTTGAATGTCCAAAATCACATTCCCCCGCAAGCTCTATTACTATTAAAATTATACTACATATATTCAATTTTAAATCTACTCAAATAAAAATCTTTAGACTCTAAATTGACCTTCATAATACAAATTCTCCTTCAACTCCCTCTCTAGTCTTATCAACAAGAAGAATATCATCAGCAAAAAAAATACACCTAAGAACATCCTCTTGTAAATGTATTAGAAGGAACATTCATGACTAAAGCAAAAAGATATGGAGTTAAAACTAATCCGTGATGTAACCAACTAAAATAGAAAACTACTAGGTCAAACCACCTTCTATTTGAACACAAGTACCAGCTCCTTCATACATGTCTTTAATGAATACAAGCATGCTTGGGATTATTTTTAATTTATTTTTTTATAAATATGTTTATTTAATATGATTTTTTATTATAAATTTTTTAAAAAATTGAATTATTTTTAAAAACACTCAAAATTATTTTGAGTGCTTTTAGAAATAACCATCATAACTGACTGTCACCTGCATTGCACCACTAACAAATGTTATCATCATCGCATAAATTAACTTATTCAATATGTTATAAAAATAAAAAAAGATATACTTTTAATATGCCTAATATGTTTATTTTGTATAACAACAACATCAAGCATTTTTTCTACTACGTGGGGTGGACTACATGAATCATTTTTCTCCATTGTATCCTGTTAAAAGTCAAATTCTTATTTAAATCTAATAAGAAAATATCATTTCTAATATTCTCTAATCAAGTCTTTTTAGGTCTACCTTTACCTTTCTTAATATAAGTCAAATGTAATGCCTCTACTATCCTAACCGGGTCATTGGAAGACCGCCGTTTTATGTGACCAAACCCTCTAAGGCAACTCTCTCTAATCTTATCTTCCACTGGAGCTACACCAACCATTTCATGAATATGCTCATTTCATATCTTATTTTTATCTCCAAGAATAAAATCACTGATCCACTTGAGCATCCTCATCTTTGTAACACTTAACTAAGTATTATGCTTCTCTTTTAATGGCCAACACTCGACACCATAAAGCATTGCATGTCTCTCCACCATCTTATAGAATTTTTCCTTAAGTTTGAGGGGGACTTCTATCACACAACAAGCCTGATGCATTCCTCCACTTCAACCATCCAATTTGAATTCTACTAATAATATCCCCATCTATTTCACAATCACTCTGAATAATAAATCCAAGATATCTAAAACGTATAGTCTTATCAATGACTTGATTGCCCAAAGTCACAATCCTCTCACTAGGTCTATTAGTACTAAAAGTATACTCTATATATTCAATTTTAGATCTACTCAAACGAAAACCTTTAGACTCTAAGGTGAACCTCCATAATTCAAGTTTACCTTCAACTCCCTCACTAGTCTTATCAATAAGAAGAATAGCATCAGCAAAAAGCATACACTAAGATACATCATCTTGCAAATGTCTAGTAGAACATCCATAACTAAAGCAAAAAGATATGGGCTTAAGGCTAATCCTTGATGTAATTCAATCGAAATAGGAAAATACTTGATCAAGCCATCTTGTGTTTGGACACAAGTAATAGCTCCTGCATACTTATCTTTAATGATTTGAATATAAGTGTTATTAACTCCTTTCTTTTCAAGCACTTCTCTTGAAACTTTATCACATGCTTTCTCTAAATCGATAAATATCATATGTAGATCCTCATTCTCTCTATATTTCTTCATCAAACCTCTCAATAAATGAATGGCTTCCATAGTACACCGACCTGACATGAATCCAAATTAATTTTGAGTTACATTAGTATCACGCCGCAACCTACGCTCCATAACTTGCTCCCATAATTTTAAAGATTCTCAATTTGATTTTGAGAGATCCAAATATGTTTATTTTGTATCAAAATTAATTAAAATAATAATAATAAAAATGGTCATAAACAACCCCTTAGAATATTAAAGTTAAAGGAGATCTTCAGATAATTTTAAAGGAGATATTCAGATAATTCAATTCTGGAAATCACAGAAAGATTTAAACTGATCATATTGTTTCAGTTTTTCTTCATCTCCTGATCTCTAAGGAAAAGGGAAAGATTCTCAATTTCAAAAGATAAAATCACTTATAACTTCAATGAAACATGGTAGAGAACGAAGATAGCCAAAGAAAGCCATAAGGACGTTCGAATATACTATGAGTGATACAGAATTTACAGATCAACCCTAAATATAAAGCAACGTTTGAAACCCGAATTCATTCAGAATTACATGCAAACTTATAGTTTAATTTTTGTACTAAAAAATTGTTTTAAGAAGCAATAAAAAAGCCCTCCCACACGAAGCCTTAGAAGGATGCTCAAAAAGGTTGCTGCAATGTTCCTATAAATGTTTGTTTGAGAATTAAATCAAAGCCTAAGCAAAAGAAATACATAGGAGCCTAATAAAGAAGAAAATATTGCAGCTGATATCACAACAGTTAAAACAATAATACATAATTAAAAATTACCATCAAAGAGCTTCAGCTCAAGCACTATCATCCCTAATTCCCAAAGTAGATGTCACACGTTTGAGTGCAATATTAGACATATTTTAGACATAATATATTTTAGACACATTTCTGTAAAAGTTTCAGAAATGTATGTTAAGAAATAAATACAAGGCAAATTACATATATAACACTCAAATCTTCATATTTACAAAAATTAACATCCAAGTGATTCTATTGTGAAGAGCACAACAAAACTAACAACTTCCATTCTTAAGAATATACTAAATTCTTTATAATTTGGTTATATCAAATGCAAATATAAAGATTCCATAACTCGTGCCATACACACGACCTTTAGTTTTCGACAAGAACAACAACATCAAGCTTTCATCTCCTAAGCATTTCCACAACTCTATTGAAATATCATCAGGTCCAACAACTTTTCCTCTATAATTCGCATGACCTTTAGTTTTCTAAATAAAAAATATATCAATGGTACACTCATCAAGTCTCCCATAAATGAATAGAGAAGATTATCTATTGCATAAACTAGAGATAACACTAAAAAAATACTCAACAAAGGAAAATAATCAGCTAACTCAGATCCATAACCAAAGAAAAAAAAAAAAGCACATAGGCCAATATACGCCAAGAGGTAAAAATAAAATCAATACTAGAGCTAATTTTCACATTGGAATATCAAAAAGGAATTTTGTAAGGTAACATCACTCCCATCTAGACTTATGAGTTGAATGATCAGCTACTTCTACAATCCAATACTCTCGTATTATTAAATATCAATTGTTTGGTACTAAAACCATCAGTAAATAAATAAGGTATTAATCCTAATTTACATATATGAGAGCTTATCCTGCAGAACTCAACCAAAAGATCACCGAACATGGAAAACAGAGAAAGAGGCTTGAAGCCTGAATAAAATTGTGCTACCTTATTTGAGAAAATTTAGAGAATTCTCGTGTCCGGCAATAAATAGGCAAAAATTGCAGGAAATACAGCAAAAATTTTCTTTTAAGTTAAAGAGCAAGATTCAAAAAAGCAGGTGGAGACGGCATTCAGAATGAGTAGGAGATTTTGAATCGCTCATAGACAGATCTCGGGCTACTTTTAACGTAGATCATCATCATCATGCCACCTCCAAATTTCTCTTAATCAAGCAGGAATTGCACAAAAAAGGAGCAAACGGCTTCCCCCTATAATATCATTGAGAATATTAAGAATAAACAAAGTTAAAAAGTAAGTTAGACACATAAAGAAAAGAATAAGAAGAGAAATCAATCAACCCAGGCTTCTCTCAGACAAGTGCCTCGATTTTTCCACATCAAAAAGTTGCATCGGGCTCGTCATCTCATTCGCTTTATCATCCCTAAGAAACCAAATCAAAGGTGTGGAAATCTCCAATTCTTAAATAAATTAAACGACATAAGGAAATTGAGCGAGAAAAGGACAATGAAAGAACTAATCGAACTTGGTTGAAGGCGGTTCATAAAAGAAAACGAAAAAAAACGCGAAAAGCGTAAGAAGGTACAGAGAAAGGGATGATTGGCTCTTCAGTATCCCTGCCTAGGGATGTAGACGCGCCAATTTTTAGATCCGGTTCAGATCTTGCCTGCTTATATACGTAATACGATGAGCTAGGGTTACGAAGCGGCTATTGGTAAGACCGTAAGAGCATAGTCTTTTTTCTCGCAGAAATTTATTTATTTATTTATTTACATATTTAGAGCTATATATATATAAATAAAATAAGAAAAAAGGAGAAGGAATTTTCAATCACATATCAAAATCGGAGAAGATTTGAAGGATCCTGGGGTTGATACGATCCCTCGAAGTCTTTGGTTGTTGATATGATCTGGCCGAGTAGATAGAAGTCTCGAAGATCAATTCAGGGGTTGATTCAAGTCCTTGTTGTTGTAATAATTCGGATTTTTTTAAATGATTTTTTCTAAATGCAAATCTAAATTAAGTGACGTGTCTTGTCGAAGAAGAGAGGGGAGAGAGAGAAGGTTGTTTGAGGTTTTTTCATCTGCCAAATTTTTTCAGAGATTTCTTATATTTGTTGTAAGTTACTCAAATTTTATTTTAATTTTCAATGATTTTGATTGTTATATAGATTTTCTTATAATGAATAGAACTGATTATATTTCTAATGCATTTGGTTGTGGTATGTGTATAAGTAAGAAAGACTGACTATTAACACTATAAAATGAGTTGACTATTAAAACATAACACCCTCTGTAGGAGGAACTTTTATTTTGTCCGGTCACCTGACGTAGCTCTATATTCGGACGTCAGTAAAATAGTGTCACGTGTTCTTACTATTTACCGCGCGGCCCGACAACTCCGACCGGAACAGAGACGGGATTGTTATGTTCACGTGTTGCTAGGTATTGCTCGGTATTTACTCTGTATTTGCTCGGTATTGGTCGATTTTGCTCGGCAATAATGAGAAATATCATTCTGTGAAGACCAATACCGAGCAATACCGAGTTTTTCTCAGTATTGATCGGTATTGCTCGGTATTTCTCGATATTGCTCGATATTGGTCTTCAGAGAGCGATATTTTTCATTATTGTCAAGCAATACCGAGCAATACCTAGCAATACCGAGCAATTCCTAGAGTAATACAGAGCAATACACGAACATAGCATTCCCGGGTCAAGTCGTCGGGCCGCGCGGTATTTAGTAAGACCACGTGGCGACATGTTATTGGCGTCCGAACATAGAGCTACGTTAGGTCACCTGACCTAATAATTGTTCGTGTAGGACAGTGAGCCGATGGACTTTCCTTTAAAATTGGTTTGTGGTGTTATCCCAGTTGTAGGTTGTAACAAATGGTCGATTACACCAATGAGTAGAGAGTGATGACTCTTTATTGATTTAATGAAATTATCTGTAATGATAATTGATTTATTAAATATGATAATTAATTAATTTAATAAATGATTATTGATATGACTAATGACAAATTGGGAATTAGTTGGGATAAAAGATGTTGAAAATATCACATTAATGTTGGATGTCCTACCTTACTAAATCATACATTGATGTATATATATATTGATATCACTGATGATATTGACATATACATTAATATCATTGACAATATTGGATGTATTAATAATCCATAAACAGATGATACAAATGAATTGATAAGATAGTTTCTTTTAGTGATTTATGAATGATTTTTTAACTGATATTTTACCGATTTATTGAATTGTATACAAATTATTAATTTTTATATTCATTGTAATGATTCCTTGTTTTTATTATTGACCATTTTGAATTTTATTGATAAAATTTAGTCATTAATTACATTGAATCCTATTAATTATATTAGACTAAACATATCATATTGATTCTTTAGTCCTTATATTTAAAGCTTTAGTGAGTTTTGGATTACTGCTGGGCTTTTGAGCTCATTATATGATTTTTTAATTATTTCAAGTCATGGAATAAGTTAGGACCAGTTGGAGTGAGATTGTCAGAGATCCTTAGGTTTTCTTTAAATTTTGGTTTTATATTTTCTTTTATTCTTTTGTATAGTGATCTCTTGGTTAGTGTAAATGATATTTTGGTGAATGAATAGCAAAATATTTTGATGTATATGATTTTAGTTTTTTTTTTCTGCTTATTATTTATATTGATGATTTACATAAGCTCTGATATATTCTTAAAATGATACACAAACAATTCTTCCAAATTTAATTCTAGGACGTTACAGATTAAGTAGTTATCTTTATTTATTTTTTGTTATTCAATATTCCTCATAACACCAACTCTGAACTATTCACAACTCTTTCTCCACTTTATTAGCAACCTCATCTATAAACTAGCAACCAAAGATTAAAACTAGTCTAAATATGTCCACATAGTTATCGAGCCATTTAGCGAACACTTGGACTCAGTCTTATTGCCCACACCTCTACATCATCTTAAACTCCATTAAACACTATCATCAATTCAAGATAATAAGTTTACATCCCAAGTTAACCTTACACCATCATTTATATCCATTTATCTTATATAAAAAATAATCTCGAAGTCATTCTAAACCAACCCAAACTAAACTAGTGATAACATTCCAATTAATATGTCCTTTTAAACTCCTCATCATTCCATCATAAATATCAGAATAATTTTCTAAAAATCAAACTAAAAATTCATAACTTTTTTTTGCTATTAGTCTCACCAAAAGGCTACCCACCACTACTACACATGGGTTTGACCTAGTTGAAGTTATTTCACTAACGTACATTGTTTATTATAAATGATGTCATTCCTCATAATTAATTAAGTTTTGATATGATATATGTAACACCTATTGAATTTGTACATAGTTTCACTTGTTATGACCTAATTTGGTAAATATAACCTATTGAATTTATGTATTTAACACATCTTGCATGTTTGTGTGAGTGTTTAGTATGCATAAAAATCTATTTTAAAATAGACCCTGGGGGTTCATGTGGATGAATGAAAATTTAATTTTTTTTTTTATTGGGAGCGATGCGACGTTGGAGGTTATCGGCGCCGCGATATTGAGCTCTCTATTTTTTTTTTTCAAAATAATTCAAAGCTGCGACACCATACCCTCTAGTGGGGACCGTTATGGCTCAATAGAGTCAGACACAGGTGCGCCTGATTTTTAGATTTTATGAAAATAACTTTTTTTCACCAAATTTTCTTTATAATCAAAGCCATTTCCTCTCCCCTAAGGTAGCTGACTAGAGAATGAGAGAAGGATTTTATAGAGAGAATGCTAAAATTGGGTAACTTTGATTCAATTTCTATTATCGGCTAAGTTCTAAAAGTTATTTAGATCAAGGTATTATTTGTTCTACCTATCTCAGTTTTCAAAATAAAATTTCTTTAGAATTTTTTTGATTAAATTTATAATTTTTTAGTATAAATTTTGGAATAAATTTGTGCACTTCAAACTTTCGCCATAAAATTTTATGTGTGTTATAGAGACAGTCATTTTGGATATTTATGTATTTTTCTAAAAAATATTTGTCAAAGTAGTTTGAAAAGTGTTTTATTTTATTAAGTTAAAAAAATAACTATGACCCCAAAAAATAATATTGTGTATAATAAAAGCCTCAAAACAGTGTTATGAATAATCCCTGATAATTTGATAAAATTTTAAAACCGTGAGATTGTACGTAGTAGTTAAATATATTGTTTATCGATAAATCACTATGTAAACATTTTGGAATTTATTCATTTATATTTCTTTTATTGTAATATAATATTATATGTTCTTATTTGCTCAAAATGTGTGATTCTATGGAGTTGTGATGTTGAAGGAAATGTTGATGTTGAATGTACAGAGAGTCATAAGAGCCATAATTTTTTATTATCTGATATGTGCTAAGCATTGAGAATCATAAAGGTCTATTTTTTTATATGCTGACACAGAGAGTCATAAGTGCCTGAATTCTGTTATACATTTATGATCGGAGGCATCAGGGCCTAGAGAAATCTTTTACTTTCTACTATGATATACGAAATATTTGTTTATTTACTTTCAGCACATAGTCTATTTTCTTAGTTATTTGCTTTTACTATTATGCTTAGTGTGATAAATTTTTTTAAGAATTATCTTTACATTTAATTAAATGCATAATAAGTGAATTATTAAAATTTTAGATTGGTGGATGTGATCTACTGAGCTGTTTTGGCTCATACCTATTATGTACTCTATTTCAAATTTTAAAAAAATGGAAAGAACCAGTTGAGTAGCTGAGGATTTATGATTTGTTCTATTTAAGTCTATAGAGGTATTTTCTGATTTTTTGTATAATCATGGCTAGTTATTTGTTTGTTTTATTCTGTTCTATAGCAATACATTATAGTGTATAAACTATTGTATATTCATTTTGATGATATGTAAAGAATTGAAATGATAGATAAGTATTTTTATTCTATTTATTAGAAATTAATTATAAGCTCTTTTGTCTGTTTTAAATTTTAAAAAGAGAAGAAATATGAGAAAACTCTCAAAACTTCAATCTTGATTTCGGTCTATCACAAGTCATCATGATATGACTTATTCTATATGTGTGTTATATTAGGTTAGGCTTTGACAATATATTAGATATAAGCTATAAATAATGAATTTTATGATATACGTTGGAAGAGACTTATGTCATGAGAGTTGTCATCAAGAGAATGTTTGGTAGATGTTTGATCATTTTCTTTTGACTAGGAGAAACCAAAGACCATAAGTTTAACATTAATATGGGTGTTGATATTGTGACTCAAAGTTAGTATTGATGGCATACATCAGCTTAATAAGTGATGTCATGCATAAACATTGAAGGTAACAAAATTGATGAGCATCAACTTTATGATAATGATGTACATCATCCTTGTAGAAGATAGTGTCAGTCGACATTGTTGTCAATGGAAAATGACAAAATCTATAGATGTTAGCATTGTTGTCTATGATGTGCATTGCCTTCATAGCTGATGATGTTCATTGATGTTATTGGCAATAGTAGGTAACAAACTCAACAGGTGTCGGTGTTGGTGTAGATGACATGACGATAACATGCATTGACACAATTAGCAATGATAGGTGATGACATCAATGAACACTAATGTAGTCGACCGATGGTGGTTAAAGAATTATAGTTGGGCAATGGTGGTTGTAGCACAACTGACGGAGGATGATTATCAGAGGATTATAATCAAATGATAGTGATTGGAGAATCATATTTGAGCTACAATTGTTGAAGTACCATAATCAGGTGACCATATTTAAAGGATTGTGGTTATCAAAGGTATTCAAAGATCATAGTCAAGAAATGGTAGTTGTAGTACCATATTTAGAAGATTGTGGTTAAATGATCGTAAGTGACGATGGTGGTCAAATGACCATCATTGATTGGGGATGATGGTTGAGAAATAATAGTTGGGCCACTTTGGTTAGACATAATTGTCCAATGATCGTAGTCAAATAATGAAGGTCGGATAGCAATGGTCCAATTGAGGTGATTGGTTGGAAGTGGTCCAACATTAGTTGTCAGATAGTTTCAATATGATGTAGGTGTTCGAGTGATGGCAATTTGATAGTGGTGGTTGGGTTATTGCAGATTGATGATGGTATTCCAACAATGGTGATATATTAGAGGTGGTTGAAAGACAATGGCTGAAAAATGGTGGTCGAATGGCGATAGTCGAACAATGGTGGTCGGACAACAAAAGTTAAATGAAGATGGTTGGACAACATTGGTCGGGTTGTAGCCTTCCAATGATGATGGCCAATGATAGTATTCGAGGCAATGGTTAAATTGAGACAATCGAATGGCAGTGATCGTTCGACAGTAGTGAGATGGAGGTTGTCAGATAGTAGAGTTTCAATGGCGGTGATCACTTGATCGGACGTTGTTGGTCCGAAGGTGAGGTTTGATGATGGCGGTCTGATGGTTGTGTTCTAAATGAGCTATAAGATTCTTCAAATTTCTAAGCTCTCTTCTCTTCCCCATTCAAGTTGAAATTCCAAACACTCCATTGGACAACTCATTTTAAATCTCTTAATCGTGGATTGCTCTTTTAGCATTTGGGTGCCTTAACAATATCATAATTAAGTGGTCTTAAACTCATTGAATTCATCTCGTTAAAACACTCAATTTGATTATAAGCATACAAGATTTGTAAATCATTTTATCATTCAAAGAATGTTGTAAAAATTATAATTCAAATATTTGATTTGAGCTAATTTTAGATCAGATCGGATCACTTTTAATGTATTTAGATTCATCTAATTGAAATCAATAAAATTTTTTTTTTTGGGGAATTATTGAAATCAAAAATAGAATCGCCTCACTTATAATTTTAAATTTAATATTTTTTTTTACGTACTCAGTAACTCAGGTGATGAACGCGGAACGCCTGAACCATATCACTGAAGAGCACAAAACCGTCCTGATACCTCAACTCGCCGATGATTTCCTCAACGGCAAGTTCTAACCCTAACTCCGTCGCCTCCCTCAACATAAAACACAGGTCATCCATCTCCCTAACAAAATTCGCATCTTTTTTGACATCCAGCTCTCTTCCCACTGCCCCTTCAACAAATCCCCCATCCATCGCCAACAAACAATCCTTCTCCTCTCAACGCCTTCTACCAATCTTCAAACCCTCATGGAATTCAAACAAGCTCAAAGAATCCCATCAAATACTGGCCCAAATCTGCAAGCTGGGCGGTACTGTCCACGCCCGCCAACTACTCGATGTAATGCCAAAACAAAAAATAAACCTCCATCCAAAGAAGAGGGAGGCATATGAGAAGGCGAGAGAGCTGCACACAGCAATAAGAGAAGCAGGGTACGTGCCTGATACGAGATTCGTGCTCCACGATATTGATGAAGAAGCTAAGGAGAAGTCGCTGATGTACCACAGCGAGCGGCTGGCGATCGCCTATGGCCTCATCGGCACCCCGCCGGGGACGACGCTGAGGATTATGAAGAATCTGAGAATCTGTGGGGATTGCCATAATGCAGTGAAGATCATGTCTAAGGTTGTGGAGAGGGAGATCATTGTGAGGGACAACAAGAGGTGTTTCATATTCTATTTCTACAAGTAAATTATTAAAAAATTAGATTGATGGATGTGATCTAATGAGCTGTTTTGGCTCATACCTATTATGTACTCTATTTCAAGTTTAAAAAAATAGAAAGAACCAGTTGAGTAGCTGAAGATTTATGATTTGTTCTATTTAAGTCTATAGAAGTATTTTTTGATTTTTGGTATAATCATGGCTAGTTATTTATTTGTTTTATTCTGGCCTATAGCAATACATTATAGTGTACAAACTATTGTATATTCATTTTGCTGATATGAAAAGAATTGAAATGATAGACAAGTATTTTTCTTCTATTTATTAGAAGTTAATTATAAGCTCTTTTGTCTGTTTTAAATTTTAAAAAGAGAAGAAATATGAGAAAACTCTCAAAACTTTAATCTTGATCACAATCTATCACAAGTCATCATGATATGACTTATTCTATATGTGTGTGATATTAGGTTAGGTTGTGACAATATATTAGACATAAGCTATACATAATGAATTTTATGATATACGTTGGAAGAGACTTATGTCATGAGAGTTGTCATAAAGAGAATGTTTGCTAGATGTTTGATCATTTTCTTTTGACTAGGAGAGACCAAAGACCATAAGTTTAACATAAATATATGGGTGTTGGTATTGTGACTTAAAGTTAGCATTGATGGCATGCATCAGCTTAATAAGTGACGGCATGCAAAAACAAGGCAACAAAATTGATGAGCATCAACTTTATGATAATGATGTACATCATCCTTGTAGAAGATAGTGTCAGTCGACATTGTTGTCAATGGAAAATGACAAAATCAATATGTGTTAGCATTGTTGTCTATGATGTGCATTGCCTTCATAGGTGATGATGTTCATTGATGTTATTGGCAATAGTAGGAAACAAACTCAACATGTGTCGGTGTTGGTGTAGATGACATGACAATAACATGCATTGACACAATTAACAATGATAGGTGATGACATCAATGAACACTGATGTAGCCGACCGATGGTGGTTAAAGAATTATAGTTGGGCAATGGTGGTTGTAGCACAACTAACGGAGGATGATTATCAGAGGATTATAATCAAATGATAATGATTGGAGAATCATATTTGAGCTACAACTGTTGAAGTACCATAATCAGGTGACCATATTTAAAGGATTATGGTTATCAAAGGTATTCAAAGATCATAGTCAAGGAATGGTAGTTGTAGGACCATAGTGGTTAAATGATCGTAAGCGACGATAGTGGTCAAATGACCATCATTGATTCTGGACGATGGTTGAGAAATAATAGTTGGGCCACTTTGGTTAGACAGAACTTGTTAGCCACACCTCCACGTGGCATATTCTAATTTGTATTCAGTTAGTTTGTTTAAGCTACACAATGTACTTTCTTTAATTATGTTCTATATATATACCCTGTATCTAGCTGTTAATGATAACAATACAATATCACTTTCTATTGCTTTTCCAATTCTGTGTCTCGTCCCTGTCAAAGGCCTGTTATGGCTATCTCCTTCAACATGGTATCAGAAGTCTAGGTACCCGTTCTTTCCTGGCTTCTTCCTCTTCTCCGATGGCCCATTCAAGCACTACGCCTCAATCCACTCAGGCGGACTCCTCTACCGCCGATGGTATCTTCTCCTCTCCCCAAATCCCGTCATCCTTGAAATTCTTGATGAGTAACATCAAGAATGTGATCTCCCAACAATTAACCGCAGAGAATCACTCTCTCTGGCGTTCACAAGTCATCAAACTCTTTCGAGCTAACAGCTTCGAAGGTTTCTTGACTGGCTCTATTCCCTGTCCATCTCCGTTCAATTCCTCCACTGACGGATCTAAAATCACAAATCCCGATCACACAACTTGGCTTCTGCTAGACCAAAATCTAGCCGCAGCCCTATATTCCGTTATTTCAGCGTCAATCCTTCCCTATGTACTTTCGGCAGATCACTGTAGTGATATATGGAGAATTCTTGATAACCGATTACAATCGTCAACCAGATTAAGAATCTCTCAGCTAAAGAATGAACTTCACTACCTTAACATGAAAGACAAATCAATGACGCAGTATCTCCTCGACGTCAAATCTAAAGTCGACTCTCTCGCCGCAGCAGGAGCACCCGTCGAAGTCGAAGACGTCATCCACTACACTCTCAACGGACTGCCGCCTACCTATCAAGCCTTCAAAACCGCCATACGTACTAATCTTCGCTCGGTCAGTCTTGACGAGCTCTATACCCTTCTGTGCAGTGAGGAGCTCAATCTGCTTCATGAAACCACTAAAGAACTTCATGATCTCAGTCTTCACGGTACCCAAACGGCCCTTACAGCCAACTGGGGTCGTGGTCGTGGCAGAACATCAAATAGTCGTGGAAGAAACAGTTCAAGATCCAACTACTCTCAGCCCAACAGCAACCGTGGAGGCAAACCACCAAGATCTTCCATCTCCTGTCAAATATGTGGAAAAACAGGTCACTCCGCGATTAAATGCTGGCATCGCCACGACGAGATGTACAATTCCGACCCACCCACAACCCTGCTAACTTCATCAAATTCATCCAACACCTCCGAATGGTATCTCGACAGCGGGGCTACTACTCATCTCAAGGCGGATCCGACTTATGTTCAAAACGCACAACCGTATCACGGCACAAGTCAGGTAACACTTGGTAACGGACAACAAGTCCCGATCAAGAACACCGGCAACGGTCTTCTGCCCACCCCATCTGGTAACCTCAAGCTATCTCATCTCAATCTTGTTCCAAATTTATCATTTAATCTCTTATCCGTTCATCAATTAACTGCTGACAACAATTGTTTTATTACTTTTTACTCGCATGGATATGAAATTAAGGATCGGACGACCCACCGCCGTCTTCTCACGGGTCCATCTATTAATGGGCTGTATCCTCTTCAACCCAAGCCTCCGTCCGGCGACCATACAGACAACCTGGCTCTTATTTCGGTTCAGCATATTCCCGATCTGTGGCACAGGCGACTAGGCCACCCATCGTCGCAAACGCTTGCCGTCATCTCTCGAAGGAACAGAACTGTTCTCTCCAACATTGCCAGTTCTACCTGTAATTCGTGCAAAATGGCTAAAAGCCATCGTATTCCTTCTTTCCTTTCTACATCTAAAACTACTTCATTGTTTTCTGTTGTGCACTCGGATGTATGGGGGCCCTTCTCCATGATCCCAGCTCATGGATACCGCTACTATGTTTGCTTTATAGACGATTTATCGAAGTTTACTTGGATTTACCCCTTAACGAATAAATCAGACATGTTTGATAAGTTCTGCGAATTTCACAAATTAATTGAGCGTCAATTTGCTCACAAAATTAAAATTCTCAGAACCGACAATGGCACGGAATTTGTTAATCATAAATTTCATACCTATTGCAAACATACAGGTATTCTTCATCAAACGACATGCCCGCACACTCCATCTCAAAACGGCGTCGCAGAGCGCAAGCACCGGCATCTTATCGAAACAACAAGAACTCTGCTCATACAGGCTTCGCTACCTCTATCCCTCTGGGTTGACACGCTCCTAGCTGCCAATTACCTCATTAACTGTATGCCCTCGCCTAATACTCAACACAAAGCCCCTTACGAAATTCTTTTTGGTAAACAACCCGACTACACTCATCTTAAGGTAATCGGTTGCTTATGTTACCCTTGGCTCAAGCCATATTCGTCGCACAAACTATCTCCTATTTCCCATCCATGTGTTTTTATTGGTTATCCTCAAACTCAAAAAGGGTATAAATGTCTTGACCTCACCACCAACAAAGTTTACATCTCCAATCACGTGATCTTCATTGAAAACTGCTTTCCCTACGCATCTTCAAATTCTCTGCATTCATTCAATCCCGGATCGTCCCATAACATTCCTCCGCTACTTCTCGTTCCAAGCTCAAGTCTACCGAACACTATTCTGTCAAATTCAGCCAACCCATCCGTTAACCAATCCTCGTCTATCCACCTTACGACTCCTGCTGCTACCAATGATCATCAACCAAACCAAATTGAATCTTCATATCCGACGGCTCAACCCAACATCATGACCACGACATCTTCAGCCCAGCCGTCTCAGCCACCTCAACCTCATCCTATGCTAACCAGACTCAAAACTGGTACATTCAAACCAAAGAAAATCTTTGATCTTACCCACATTACCCAGCCATCTGAACCCAAAACCTACAATCAAGCCGCAAAATCGGAGCACTGGCGCAAGGCAATGTCCCAAGAGTTCCAAGCTCTTCAATCTCAGGGCACTTGGGAACTAGTCAAACCAACACCGTCGATGAACATTCTCGAATCGAAATGGACTTTCCGTACCAAATTTAAATCTGACGGCTCAATTGCCAGGTACAAAGCTAGACTGGTGGCACAAGGTTTCAATCAGGAACAAGGCGTCGACTACACAGAAACCTTTAGCCCTGTGGCTAAAATGCCCACCGTCCGTGTGCTCATTCATCTAGCATTGCACCACAACTGGCTCATTCATCAACTCGACGTATCCAATGCCTTTTTACATGGTAAGCTCTCGGACACCGTTTACATGTCTCAACCTCCAGGCTTTCAAGACTCCTCATATCCCGACTACGTATGCAAACTCAAGAAAGCATTATACGGGCTAAAACAATCCCCAAGGGAATGGTACGCCACACTATCTAATCATCTTACATCCTACGGCTTCAACATCAGCGCATCCGATCCATCTCTCCTAACTTACAAAGACGGTAGTACTCGTATGTACATGCTAATCTACGTCGACGACATATTACTCACAGGTAACTCTCCACCCGCTATACAAAAATTGCTCTCTAATCTTCATCTTTCGTTTCAGATGCGTAATCTCGGCACTTTGTCCCAATTCTTGGGCATTCAAACCGTTACCACTAAATCTGGATTAATTCTTCACCAACAAACCTATGCCAAGACAATCCTTCAACGCGCTGGAATGGAGTCAGCCAAACCAGTAGTCACGCCGATCTCATGCAAGATCACGCTCACGCCTACCTCTCAGGAACCATACGCTCACCCACAGCTCTATCGGCAAATTATAGGCGCTCTCCAATACCTCACTATTACTCGACCAGATATTCAGTTTGCCGTGCAGCAACTCTGTCAGCATATGCAAAATCCGCTAAACTGCCACCAAGACTCCTTAAAACGCCTTCTTCGTTATCTTCAAGGTACTCTTAATCTCGGCATTCCAATCAACAGATCTAATCTACAACTACAGGGCTATGTTGATGCCGACTGGGCCAGCAACAATCAAGATCGGAAATCCATTTCGGGATTTTGTAATTTTCTTGGCTCCTCCATTATTTCATGGCAAGTCAAGAAGCAAAACACAATCGCAAGATCCTCCACCGAGGCAGAATACCGGGCATTAGCTATGGAAACAACCGAAATCCTATGGCTTCGTCAACTCTTGGCCGACCTTCATCAACCACAAGAGACAACTACCACAGTTTATTGCGACAACACCTCCGCAATCGCTCTGGCAAACAATCCTATCTTCCACGCCAGAACTAAGCACATAGAGGTAGATTGTCACTTTATTCGGGACTGCATCAAGAAAAACAAAATCTTTGTTCATCATGTTTGCACCGAGGACCAGCTAGCCGACCTCTTCACCAAAGCTCTGCCAAATAACCGCTTCAATCGTCTCACTCACAAACTTACTGCTGTTACACAAGCATAAGTTTGAGGGGGGCTATTAGCCACACCTCCACGTGGCATATTCTAATTTGCATTCAGTTAGTTTGTTTAAGCTACACAATGTACTTTCTTTAATTATGTTCTATATATATACCCTGTATCTAGCTGTTAATGATAACAATACAATATCACTTTCTATTGCTTTTCCAATTCTGTGTCTCGTCCCTGTCAAAGGCCTGTTATGGCTATCTCCTTCAACTGAACTGTCCAATGATCGTAGTCAAATAATGAAGGTCGGATAGCAATGGTCCAATTGAGGTGATTGGTTGGAAGTGGTCCAACATTAGTTGTCAGACAGCTTCAATATGATGTTGGTGTTCGAGTGATAGCAATTTGATAGTGGTGGTTGGGTTATTGCAGATCGATGATGGTGTTCCGACAATGGTGATATATTAGAGGTGGTTGAATGACAATGGTCGAAAAATGGTGGTCGAATGGCGATAGTCGAACAACGGTGGTCGGACAATGAAAGTTAAATGAAGATTGTTGGACAACATTGGTTCGGTTGTAGCCTTACAATGATGATGGCCAATGATAGTATTTGAGGGCAATGGTTAAATTGAGACAATTGAAAGGCAGCGATCGTTCGACAATAGTGAGATGGAGGTTGTCATATAGTAGAGTTTCAATGGCGGTGATCACTTGATCGGACGTTGTTGGTCCGAAGGTGAAGTTTGATGATGGCGGTCTGATGGTTGTGTTCTAAAGGAGCTATAAGATTCTTCAAATCTCTAAGTTTTCTCCTTTGAAATTCAAAACACTCCATTGAACAACTCATTTTAAATATCTTAATCATGGATTGCTCTTTTAGCATTTGGCTGCCTTAACAATATCATAATTAAGCGATCTTAGACTCATTGAATTCATCTCGTTAAAACACTCAATTTGATTATAAGCATACAAGATTTGCAAATCATTTTATCATTCAAAGAATATTGTAAAAATTAAACTTCAAATATTTGATTTGAGCTCATTTTAGATCAGATCGGATCACTTTTAATGTCTTTAGATTCATCTGATTGAAATCAAAATTAATGAGTAACTCGGGTGCTGAACGCGGAACGCCTGAACCATATCACTGAAGAGCACAAAACCGTCCTGATACCTCAACGCCCCGATGATTTCCTCAACGGCAAGTTCTAACCCTAAGTCCGTCGCCTCCCTCAGCATAAAACACAGTTCATCCATCTCCTTAACAAATTACGCATCTTTTTTGAAATACAGCTCTCTTCCCACTGCCCCTTCAACCAATCCCCCATCCATCACCATCAAACAATCCTTCTCCTCTCAACACCTTCTACCAATCTTCAAAACCTCATGGAATTCAAACAAGCTCAAAGAATCCCATCAAATACTGGCCCAAATCTGCAAGCTGGGCGGTACTGTCCACGCCCGCCAACTACTCGATGTAATGCCAAAACAAAAAATAAACCTCCATCCAAAGAAGAGGGAGGCATATGAGAAGGCGAGAGAGCTGCACACAGCAATAAGAGAAGCAGGGTACGTGCCTGATACGAGATTCGTGCTCCACGATATTGATGAAGAAGCTAAGGAGAAGTCGCTGATGTACCACAGCGAGCGGCTGGCGATCGCCTATGGCCTCATCGGCACCCCGCCAGGGACGACGCTGAGGATTATGAAGAATCTGAGAATCTGTGGGGATTGCCATAATGCAGTGAAGATCATGTCTAAGGTTGTGGAGAGGGAGATCATTGTGAGGGACAACAAGAGGTTTCATCATTTCAGGGACGGTATGTGCTCATGTGGCGACTACTGGTGACATTTTGTTATGATTTGTGTGGTAATTTGGAAATATCGGAATGTTTTTCTTCTCTTTTTTGCTGCAAATTCTTGAGCTTTAAAACTTCTTAGCTTTTTTTGTTGTTGTTAAATCATCCTCAAGATCAAGAGATAGGAATCTGATAAAAATATGGGTCTGTTTGGTTGCAAGAATTTTAACAGATTTTCAGGACATCCACTTTTTAACAGATATATCATATGTCAGAGGAAAACAGTGCTAGAAAGGGGTGAGGGTGACCATATCTTTCTATGTTGAAATTCTAAGTGAATGGAAACTAAGGCTTTGTTTGGGACAGTTTTTTTATTGCTTCTTAAAGTAGCTTTTTAGTACAAAAAATTTAATTTTTGTATTAAAAAACTGCTTTAAAAAGCAGTAAAAAAGCCGTCCAAATTCCAAAATGAAGCCTAAGAAGCAAGCTGAATTTCGGTGCCAAAGTTGATGGGTAGCCTATGATGAAAAGGAAAATCAGTTTCAATACCTATTCAGCTTCCCAGTTTAGGCCATGCAATATATACCTTTTGTATGTAGAGATGGTGTTAGAAATATGTCAAGTTAAGTGGGTCTAAAAAGCTTTCTTTTAAAAGAAATGGCAAAGATTCAAATGGAATTTTTAATCTTCAGCAAGGAATCTGATTAATGGCGGCATAAAAATAGGATTGTTTTAAATATGATAAAAATAAATGGCATGGATCAGGAGGCGATAAATTTCATTAATTATGCCAAACTTTGGACCACCAAACATAAAATTACAATGTTTGAAAGAAAATATCCAACTAGGACCTCATATAGGACTTTGATTTACATGTGAATTTGTGTCATGCATGGAACCTTATATATTATTCAAATGTTTATGGATTGCAGTCATCCATGTAAATCTAGAGAGAGAGAGAGAGAGAGAGAGAGAGAGAGAGAGAGATTCCTTTTTATAGGGGGTAGATTAGGGAGAAAAATAGAGGTAAATTGCCATGGTACCTAAGAGCCTAAAAAAGGCTACATGAAATTTGATGGTGAAATAGGTTACATATCATCCACCCAGGGGTGGATGCAAGAAGAGCTCAGGGTGGCGCTCACCTTAAAATCTTTTTTCTTAGAAGAATAAACGTTTCAACTATTTAATCCAACTTCAATAATGCAGTTGCTCAAATTTTCTAAAAGAGATTTTTTTTTCTCTATTTCATACATAAAATTTAATTTGAGCTCTGAAATAGACAATAAAAGCCTATCATGACAAAACAAAGAATGGTTTTATTTTGTCATGAGGTGGATTAGAGAGAAACAAAAAAAGAAGTGTTTGACTTATTTTACAGGATTTAGGACTTACCATGAGAGCAAACCAAGTCACTTATTGTTAGATAACAGCCCTTGGATCTTCATCCACTGGCTGCAAGTAAACCTGAATTTAATACAAAGGACTATTTTAAATGCAAATTTGAGAAGTGACTGGAACTCTTGACTGAAACATAATAGGTGGTTTAGCCATGATTTGCCTTGGTTTCATGAAGTGATCAAACTGAGTCAAAACTTACTAAAACTCTAGCTAATTGTGCCAATTTGGTTGATGGAGGCTTCGTTTGAGATAATTTTCTTGCTGTTTTCTGAAAAAATTTCTAATACAAAATCTCTAATTTAAAAATTTTTGGTACAAAGCAGCAAGAAAATTGTCCTAAATGAACTCAGAGATAGATTAAGCGAACAAAATTATGATTTAGAGTCTACTGGTTTTTGTGATTCAAATCTGAATATTTAGGGTTCTAGCCAGAGAGTGTTGATGCAGGGCATCATCATCATTATCATTATCGTCATCGTAATCATCCTAAATTCTAGCTTATGTGCGAAAGAAGATAAATATGGATAGATGTATTTTGAACTCTTATATCATTGAGCATTTATGTCAAGATAATATATTCTAACCATTCCTACAGCTAAATTGAAATGAAATATCGCACAGTTTTTTTTTTTTTATGACGAGGAACCGTCCGCTGCCACGCTCTGGCTTTGCCGAGTGCACTTGGCGGTCTGTAAACCCCGACCGACCTACCGGGCCACCCACGTCTACAATACCCGCAACTGGTGCTTAGGGGCTCCACTTAAGGGCTATAGCTGCTCGAGGGAATCAAACTCGGGATAATAAAAAATATCGCACAGTTAGTTTCTGATAAAAAACTTGCTTCATAACGTGCTGAAATGTTATAAATTCAGGAACTTGCTTCCATGTGGTTTTATGGGTAACAAATTTGGTGAAGATGGATAAGGAAAGATGTAAACTATATATAATTTGAAATTTTATCATTAAATTATTTCAAAATTTCGTCACCAATCAACATAAAAATGTAACTAAATTGAGACAATCAATTTATTTTCTTAATTGAGATTGATTTTTGATGTCATGGTACTTTAAGTTTTTTTTTTTTTTTTCTTTTAAGACAATTAATTAAAAAGATTTTTAATGTTATAATGAGCCACAGTAAATAATAAAGTTTAGATGTTAGATAAATAAATAGAGTAGTTTTAAGTATCAGATATGTAAAACCCCCCTAAATCTTTTATTTTAATGATTTTATTTAAGATAAAAAAATAAAATCAAATCATTTCTCATAAACTATCTGATTTGACAGAGGTCATACATAAACAAGCATGTTAAATCTAAAAACACTTAATGCTTATTATTTCATCAACGGCATATCTCACATTTTCATTACTATGACAACATAACAACGCAAAAAATCCATAATTTAAAAGTTTGCACACAAAATTTCACCAGCAGATCACTATTAACCACCAGTTAGAATCCTCCTAAAAGCTACATACATATTCACACACATTATACATACATACATACATACATACATACATACATACATACATATATGAACACCCTTGTTATAATTATTGGGGGTTTACATACATATCAACAAAATCTTATTGATAAACTTTAATATTTACTTGTATAATATCATAATATCTTAATCACATCAAAAATATCAGTAACTTCAACTTATCTAAAGCGAAGTACATATTTTCGTGTATATATTTTGATGTGATTTAAATATTAGCGCATTATTATGATATGTATGTGAATCCCCCTATAATCATAAAGATAGAAGCATCAAAGGGTTGCTCGTTAATCAATATTTCTCTTAACCAGCAGTAATTGCATGGAGTCCTAACCTGCGAATATGTACATCCATTGCTTGAATTCCATCGTTGAGCTCAAAAATACAAATATCACCCACTTGTAAATGATTAGCTCTGCAAAAGTTAAACCACCCATGGCTCAGAACTGCACGCCCATCCACCCGATGCTTGATATCAACCGACCATGATCTTCCAGAAGGATCGCGTAGTGTTGTTTTACTTAATTTTGCTGCATCATATTCTTTTAGAACACGCGTTGGAATATTCTGCAATGTATGGAACATAGAACAAAATCTTCATGGACATACAAATACATATAGTAAAACATGAAAAATTCTATAAGAAAAATAGTGGGATTACATCAGCATCTCATGATACGATCACTGTTACAAGCAGCAGCGGTGATGACACCTCAATTCCACGAGAAATCATTATGTGTGGACTGTGGACGTCGGACGCAGCTTTACGTCCAGAGGCGAATCAGGTGCAGCCACGTCTGTGATACCGAGCAGCACCGAGCCACGGCATTGAGTGAAGTGGTGATGTGGCGCATTTTGGTTGGCCTTCGGACCGCACAAAATAATTTTTCCTTCTTAGGCCGCAACTGTCCACTCAGTTAACGACGTCTGTGAAAAATACTACAAGGACGGTAACTTTTTTATTACTCCTTAAAACAACTTTTGAGTACAAAAAATTAATTTTTGCACTAAAAACTACTTTAAGAAGCAATAAGAGAGTCGTATCCCAAACGAAGCTTATAATTGCTTAACCATGAGTTTTAGCAAGCAAGAACATTCCATCACACTTCAAGAAACACACCACCTGATATCAAATCTATCCACTTCAACAAATTCCTTAAACATACTGCCCAAAATTCCATTGCCTCTTATTTCCAATTGCTTTCCAGCTCGCATACCAATCCACTCACTTCCAAGCTTTCTAAACACCCCCCGCACTATTATCGTTCCTTCAACAATATCATGAGCTCTTTGAAGAACCCTCCAGCTTTCCATCAATTCGCCCAATCATAAATATTCATTGCAAACAAGTAAAACACCTATCCAGATTTGACCCTCTAATTACCCACGTTTTCAAAAGAAAACAATTGGAACCCCGTCCAACAAATCCTGCAATCCGATACCAAACGTCCTATAGCACCAACACTTTTTGTCTCCTATCTTACTTGTTAAAAATAAGCAAATGATATTTTTGGGTGGATTACCAAGCACTAAGTCAAGCTATCATGCCACATCAATTTTGTATCCCAATCATAATAGACAAGATGCTTGACAAGTTACATGGATCTTGTTATTTTTTTTCAAATTGGATCTTAGCATTGACAACCATAAAGTTAGTTGCACTTGAAGACATCCACAGAATAGCATTTCAAATACACAAATACCACAACGAGTTCACTTTGATGCCTTTCAGCCTCATCAATGCCACCATTATGAATAAAATTCATCAACCCCAATTAGGTAATTTGATTTTTTTTAATCATATTCTTGTCCATGGCAACACATTGTCCCTCCCAAATCTAAATTCAAATCAGCCATCTTTCCCTAAATAATTCCCTCTCAAATCCAAATTCAAATCAGCCCTCTTTCCCTAAATAACCCTTTCTAATTCACTTTCAAATCTGAACTAAAATCAGTCATCTTTCCCTAAATAAATCTTCCTAATATTCTTCCAATCAAATCAGACCACTTATCCTAAATAAACATTCATAATTTCCTCCCAATCAAATCAATCTTCTTTCCCTAAATAAAACTTCCTAATTCTCTCCCAATCAAATCATCCGGTCTATCAGTACTCTCCTCCCAAAGGCCCACCTCGTCCGCAAGGTGGGAAGGCGGCTCCTTCATCAATTTTATCATCATCACAAACAATGAGCATTTGAAGAATTCAATCCTTACACTTGTGCCATGATGTATACCTCTCCTCACATCTGAAACATAGCCTCTTTGCCCTCTTTTCTTGTAACTTAGTTTTTGTGAACATCTTGAAGTTTTCCCTAGGTTTATCTTCTACAGCCTTCTCAGATGTTAAAAAGGAGATGGTCATCCCATACAAATCTTGTGAGCTGCTGCCTAAAGCCCCTCTCCCCAGGTGTCTCTAATCCTCCACTAACTGGGATAGCTTTGTAGCCGCTCCCAAATCATGAGGCCTCATCACTCTAACTGCCGCTAGAATCTCTAGTCTAAGCCCTTTCATAAAGTTCCCCTCCAGTACAATCTCCAAAAGCCGATCTAGCCAGTTAGCCAGGTGCACAAACTGCTCACGATACTCCACCATTGTCCCCTTATGTGTCAAGGCGAAGAACTGCTCATAGAAGTCTCCTCCCCTGTTGGTTCAGAAATGTTCCAACAAGCAGTTGTCAAACTCCCTCCAGATCCGTATGGGTCGCCTCGTATCCCTCCACTAGTACTACGCCAATGCTTCCCCACCAAGCAAATGTTGTCCACCATCAATCTCTCCTTCTCCGTCAACTTATTTAAAAATACCTCTCCACATTGTATATCCACTCGTGTGCATCATCTCCCTAAAAAATAGGCATCTTCAGCTTCCTCACCCTCGGATCTTCTGTGTTCCCCCTGTTTCCTCCATAATTTCTCATTCCCCAAGGGGGATGGTTCCCCCCAAGTGTCCCAATCATCTCTTCTATGCTCGCACCCAAACCCTTCATCAATATCCCACCTTCTCATTTCAAATTCGGCACCCCTTGGATCATAATGAGTTGTTCTCCTTTCAAATTCAGCTCCTCTCATTTCAAATTTAGCAACCTTTCAGTCATAATCAGCCCATCTCCATTCAAATTTCACCCCCCTCCTCTCAAATTCAACACCCATTCGTACATGCCCGACCCCCTCACGCCTCTCCCCATACCCTCCACCCAACTCCTCCCTAGGAATAGGCTCTAACCGAGGCATTCTCTCTTCTATCTACAAAATCCCCACCTCATGATCTTCCTTTCATCTTGTTGGATTAGTGTTTCCCCCACTTCCTTAGTTGTTGGTGGCTTCCCTCGCCTTCAACAATGCTGTCTTAGGTTGACCCTTGAGCAACTTATTCAACATCTCCTTCAGGATGAAAAATATCCTATAGATCTTCTCGTGGACGGTTGAAATTTGATTTTTGAAATCTGAAAATTGAGTTTGGAGATATGAAATTTCAAATTCCAAATTTCAATTGTTCGATCTCTCCTTCCAACACTCCTACCTTTCTTCCCGCCATAGGCACCCGGATAAAGGCTCCAAACCGCAAAAAAACAATAATTATGGTTTTCAAATAGTAGAAATCGCACTTTAGAGAGGAAAACGAAGCAGAAATTGGTAAGGAAAGGCCTCAATTTCAGCCCAGAACACCACTATGATACCAATTTGATAGGAAATAGATACAATTTCCTAGAAATTAGTGAACGGCAATAAGAAATTAGGGAGAAGAACACACCAAAACTATTTTGAAAGAAAATAACAAGATATAATTAGATCTTTAAATGGAGAGGAAGCTCCGACTCTCCAAATACCTAGCCGGCAGCTAGAGTCCTCACAACCTAAGAAATTCTAATTTCAATAAACTCAAAACATAATCATAAAATCATCCAATTGTTAGCTTTAAATAGGCTCCCCTAATTCTCTCCCAAATCTGAATTCAATTCAACTATCTTTCACTAAATAATTCTCTCCAAAATTTGAATTCAAATCAGCCCTCTTTTCCTAAATAAATCATCTTAATTCCCTTTTAGATCTGAATTCAAATCAGTCTTTTTTCCCTAAAAAAATCAAACTAATTTTCTTCTAATCAAATCAGTCCTCTTTCCCTAAATAAACCTTCCTAATTTCCTCTCAATCAGATCAACCATTTTTCCCTATATAAACCTTCCTAAATCTCTTCCAATCAAATCAGCCGGTCTATCAGCTAACTTCTTCCGTCTTCGTTGCTCCAAATGTTTTATTGGCCAAGTTCAAATTGATTACCTTAGCCACACTATTTTGAATGAGGGCGTACGCCCAAATGAAAACAAGATTAAAAGTTAAAACAAGACAAGATTAAAACAATTAAGAACTGGCCAACTTCTACTGCATTCAAAGTTTTGCATGGCTTCCTCGGCTTAGTGGGTTATTACCATAAGTTGTTCCAAAATACATGCATGTCGCCAAGCCACCAAGAAACTTGCTGCAAAAGGATGCCTTTCAATGAGATCGATGCTTATTAGCAATCATTTAGTCGATTGCAACATGCATAGTCTAACCCTTCACTTATCACCTTATCAAATTTCATTAAGCTCTTTGTTCTAGAGACAAATGCATTCAGCTTTAGGGTTGGCGCAATTCTCAATCAGGATGGTAAACCAATCACCTACTACATCAAAAAAACTCTCTCCTTGTATGCAGCAGACCTCCATCTATGTACGAGGAACATTCACAATCACCGAGGCTATCACTAAGTGGTGAAAATATTTCCTCAACCCAATCTTCACAATATTCGTGAGCTCATGAAGCAGGCTATTCAAATGCCTGACTAGCAACGTTTCTTACTTAAATTACATAGGCTTACTGTTAGACCGGTCCAATGGACCGGTCCAGCCGGTCCACGCGGGACCGGCCCAGCCACAACGAGGCGGAACTTCCGCCTCCCGTTTCAGCCGCACGCCTCCTGGATCAAACAGGGCCGAATATGAAGGTTTTTGAATGGATTGTAGGAGGGAAATTGAATGTAGGGCTGTTTAGGGAATTTCTTTTGATTTGTATGCATTAAATAGTTGATTTTCCTAGGGTTTGAGTATCTTGAATTTGACAGAAATTTGAGATCTCTTAGATTTAGGTTTTCTTTGGGCTCTTGGCGTTGCCAGAGATTTCGGAGAGATCGATCCTCCTCTCGAATTGAGGATCAATTGTATCTTGCTATTTTATTCACCTTCTAAGTGGAATACAAGTCTTTTCTTGAGTTTTCTCTCATATTTTCCCGGACAAGTGCTGTTTTCCTGCTGTAAACAGCAGATTTCTGCTGTTTTCCTGCTGTGGACAGCCATTTGGCTGCTGTTTATTAGCCGGTTTGGGTTAGGTTTGCTTGCGAACTCAGAGTACTACCTTAGGGTTACTTGCGAACTCAAGTATATCCTATCACTTACTCAAGTTGAACGGGTCATAATGACCTTTTTTGTAGTTAGTTCGAGATTCATCATATTTGTTTTTGGTAAAAGTGATATCTTTCCTAATTAAAGAATGCTAATCAGCATTATCAATAAGATGATTTAAAGAGAAACTAAACTGTATAATGAAATAGAATTGAAACAACATATCCACTCACCAGATTGTACTTTCGGGATTTTAAGAATATAGAAGCAAATATTGCATTTGTTCTAAAAGATCTTTCAGCTTTGAGAACCTCTTGTTCGCGTTTCTTATTACCTGCATGGCATATCATATCAATTAATTAATTCTAGAAATTTCGTTCACCTTCAATATTGGAAGCCTGCAGAACAAGCTTAACGCTAAGAGGAACTCATTGAGATATTATCATCATTATCATTATCATCATCATCATTATCATCATCATATGTGACAACCATCAATGAGTCTCATATGAAGCCATTTAAGAAAAAGCTGAGATTTACGAAGTTAACACCCTCAGATATGGGCAGGCCTAGTGTACATAAATCCAGAATGGAGCTTCATGCACCAAGTACACCTCAGCCTTTATGATTTATGGAATCCTCAGTATTGCCAATAAAGTATCAGGGAAACAAACAGTATAATCATTTAAAACAATGAAATCAATATTGGCACTGGTAGTAGATAAATATAAAGCTCATACAAGCCGACAAAGGCATATTTTTTCCGTCCAGTACTCAAGGAAGAATTTGTGATGTGTATAGGCACAGCGAAAACATAGAACTAAAATTAAAAAGGAACAAAAAAAAGGGGGGATGCAAACTAGTTTCATATAAATTATCAAGATAGTATGCTTTAAAATAAGAATTGTGTTCCATTGTATGAATGGAAGACAACCAAAACAAGGACTTTGACATGGTTATGCATCAACGAAAATATTAGTTTTAAATTACATAAATTCAATTTAGCTATATAATGAGAACACATAATTATAAGAGTTTAAAATAAGACTGGTTGATAGTCATTAACATCGAGAAAAAAGATACACTGGTTAATAGACATTGAATTCTTAAAATTTAAGATATTTGGCTCTTCTACAAAAGAAAAATTCGTTATAAGACTACAGCACATGCAATTTATCTAGAAATTTTTCATTGTTCATCAATGCCTACTAACATCTGAACCTTCATGTAAACTATAACACATAATGGTGATGTACTCCTGTTGACCTAGTTTTCATCGTGCTCGAGCTTGACCATTGCACACACACCTTTGGATAGCTTCGAGTCTCCTAGTTTGACCATCGTGGTACTCACATACCCGACAATTTAAACTTGGATTTTCCGATTAGGAACACTTCCTAGTCGTGCATATCACCCTTGTTTTTTCTCGCTCGTGCGCCTTGCCCAATTACAATTGTCGCTTTATCGTGTGTGCCTCGCCACGATCGTGATCATTGCTTGATCATGTGCGCCTTGCCTCGAGCACGATCTTCGCTCATGGTGTACAACTCGCCATGATCGCGATCGCCGTTTGATCATGTAAGACCCATTAAGATTATGATCGTTGATTGTGCTTCGCGTCATGATTTATAAATTTTCTTTAAATCACAAATTTACCAAAATTGATTTTGACGATATTGACTGGGCCAATCAATTACCATTGGATTCGATTTTATGAGAGCAATTTAATTTAAGAATTTACATAAAATTAATATCAATTATATATATATATATATATATAAACAAAAAAAAGAAAAAGATTATTTGGTAAATTGAATTAAATCTGGTACGTCTCTTAGAATTTCCAAAAACGCCAAGGTAGTTTTTATCACAGTTCCCTCTCTGTTTCAAAACTTGAAACTCAGCATTTTTAAACAAAAAATTAAAGTGAAAAACTACATATAAATCTCTAGAGCAGTATTTCACGGCGACCATTAGTGACCTCTTCCTCCAATCGACACCATCCACCTTTGTAGCCCAAGCCTTCACGCTAGTGACACTTCATATGAGAAGAAATAACTCTTATTTCAACTAAACCGCCTCATCCGGAGGCAACCCATTGGGATTATACTTTGCAACATTTATGATATCAACTAGTGGCAGTTTCAAAGGAAGGAGTGTTGACCTCTAAACATATTCCATGATCAATCGAGTGCATCTATGAAGGAAACTAACAAATATATCTCTTATCGGCGACATCGAGACACTTGGATCGCTATCAAAATAGCTCAAAACTTCATTTGATCATGAAAAATATCACATTGATGCACTCAGAACATCGAATTTGCTGAGAAAAAGTCATTCATGCAAAACTCATTAAAAAATAATGATAAACACAATTTTTGGCATGCTACATAAATTTACACAAAAATGCAAAAACGACTTTCAATAGCTAAACGGACAACGCCGATGTGATCAGGGCATCAAATTTACTTAAAGAGAGGCTTCTCATGTTCAATTTGAGTGAATATAATTGAAATCAACAAACTACAAACAAAATATTATGCAACATTGCCTGAACGTCGTCCATTCGCAAAATGTATTTCGTCGTTGTGTCCGGAACATCAAAATCATTTAGAAAAGATTGTAATATTGCTTGGGCCTCTGCAAACAAAAACTTGAAAATTGCACGAGTTTCAGGGCAACGACACGAAGATCGAAAGCATTGCACCATGATTGATGCACGCACATATGTGTTCTTGATTAATATTACTTCAATTAAATTCATAATTTCTTCATATGAATATGTATATAATATTTATAAAATCATATCTCTAATAAAATCGGCTCATCCTTGCTCTACACCCTATTCTGCCACTGTCAGCCGCCCAATCCTGTAAAAGCACAAAAATTATATAAAAAAATCCTAACCTAACCTTTTCTATCCTCACTCCCTTTCTATTTCTACTTCACACGAACTGCTCACAACAGCTCTAGCCCATGCCCCATTCGAACTCCCTGACGTTCTCCACCTCTTCATTTCCAAGACCGATCTCCTTCTCCCTTCTCCCCCTCAAACAGCCCACTCAAACTCCACATCTCAACAACCTGCTACAGCCACCAAATGCAGCAACTCCCTCACGACACTTCACCTGCTTTACACGCTACAGTTCACTCTTCTCCTCACACTTATACAGTCGTTTTCCTATTCTTCTCCTCACGCTTCTACAATCTACCCCTGCTCCTTCCTTAACCTCACGCACAACAACACAACAGCTGCCTGGTCTCCCATAGCCGAACTCAAACATCTCAGTTCAAAAATCCAACAGCCCTCCTCAGCTACCCAAGCAAACAGCAGTTGATCTCACCACATCAAACCGAAATCCCTCTTTCCTACCGAGCCAGTAGCAACACCTTTCCTCCTATACACTAAAAGAGCAAGGCCCAGCTTCTCCTCACTTCTCCTACCAAGCCCGCTTCTAAAGGCCCATAACATTTCTCCCCTACCACTTCTAGTAAATACTCAAACCACATTATCTTGCATATACCTACAACCCAATATAAACCAAACCCTTCAGCCAACTTCCTTCCTAACTACTCTACAGCCAAGCAACTATCCCAACTTCTTTATTTCTCTCTAACAGAGAGTTCAAATTCAACTCCACCACTCTCCTATCCTCTCTAACAGAGAATTCACATTCATCTCCTCTCTTTGCCTCTCTATTATTATTAGTATTAGTTTAAAAAAAAAATAGAAAAAAAAGTATAAAAAAAAAGAAAAGATGTGTATTGCTCTCGACTCCGCCGTCATCACCTCGCACTTGCCAAGGTATAATGCTCATTAACCTCAAAAGCTCAAATCCCATTGTTGATGCTTAGGGTGCAATGAGCAACCCTCTGTAAGAGTTTTTCATGACACGGTAGGAGGATGTTCGAAGGCCATGTTACCAGCGAAGCGGGTAGGCACTGTATGCACTTTTCATAGCATGACAGAGACACTCTTAAGTACTCGAACACACTTTTATGCCAGGAAGAAAATTTGCAAGCTTTCATGCAAGTACTTTAAAGACCCATACACATTTTTCATAATGTGCTGGGAACCGGAGCTAAATGAACCGGACCTAAAGGAACCAGAGCTAAATGAACATTTAAGTTAACTTATAACTAAATAAAATTCATAAAGTTATTTATAATTAAAATAAACATAATGTCTTTATGCCACCAAATCTGAAACAATCATATAAGCTTACAAAAGGTATTTGTAGGGCCCTAAATGAAATCTTATGCACACTCCAATGACAATCACTTGCACAAATGATAAAATTTAAATATTCTTAAAATATCCCTCATGCATTAAAATACAAATTTTTAAACATATGTATGTTGCCTCCATAAGTGTGCAGCAATCTCGGGAGGAATGCGACGACCCTGAGAAGAGTGCCACAGCCTCGAGAAGCATGTCATAGTACTGAAAAACATACATGTTAATTTAAAAGAAGATTTTAATCCCCACATGTCTTCCGACAAACGTGCTAAATTTGCAAACGCCAATATCAGAGATACCTACGCGGGGTCTAAATGCTCACTAATATAAAATTCTATTTTCAAACTAAGCACCGACGGCAGGAAGGGGTGGCCGGGGCTAGGCTGGAGCGGGATGGGGTAAAATGTCATTTGGGAGGTGTTGGTGTGGGGAACTATGGACGGGCGGCCAGAGGTAGGGAGGTTGAGGTTGAGCCGGCGGTGGGGAAGAGAGGGGGAGGGTCGGAGGAGATGAGAGGAACAAAACAAAAATTAAAGCTGCGAACCTCGGACCCTTCCAAAGGTTGACGGGTATTGCGATTGCCCACACCTTGGGTCTTCCTTCTTCTCTCAAACACTCAACATGGAGGGAGACAAACAAAACTTGGAATTGTATTAATCAATCATCATCCCACAATACGAGAGAGCTAGCCTATAAATAGGCCTCATGAAAACAAAAATATCAAAGACTAAAACGCCCTTAGGGCTACAACACCACATGACCACCCCCTAGGGGTAAGATGGGAAAAACAAAATATAAAATAAACTAGTACATAAGAAACATCAAAAATAAAATAAACTCCATATCGTAGCTGTTGATCTTCCGATGTCCTCATGAAAAACACTTATAGGAACCAAGAGTTTCCCTAACTGAATTTGAAACTCAACACTTTGCAAAAAAATAGAATTGAGAAGAACTAGGAAGAATAACCGGAAATAAATATTTTAATTGATAATAATGGAAGGAAAACAACAAGACATGATGGATCTTCTATTGGAGAGCAAGATCCAACTCTTCCAAATCTCTAGACGCCGCTAGAGCCCAAACAAAATATAAGAACCTCAACTTCAGCAAACCAGAGATAAAAAAACAACCCTAGAGGTTAGAAGTAATTCCCCCTTAAAACATACTATATTTCTCTTTAATTTCCAAATACCCCCTCAACTTCAGCAAACCAGAGATAAAAAAACAACCCTAGAGGTTAGAAGTAATTCCCCTTTAAAACATATAATATTTCTCTTTAATTTCCAAATACCCCCCTCCCCCTCCCCTTTTTTGAATTTTCCCTCCTAAATCCTCCTTAATCCCTCTTCATTTGGCTTGTGGACCCCACCCTCAACGGGGGCGGGTAGGGCTGGGGCTAAACCTTTGTTCCGCCTCCTGTAGACCAAAGCCGGTCCCTGTTGAATCGACTGGACCGGTCTAATAGATTGTTCCTGACATTTCCTTACCTAGAACCATAAGTTAGCAAACAATAGAAACAAAATAATTAGGAATCACACTCTTTGATACATGTTCTACTTACTAGACACTATGTTAGCTACCTGACACCATTTTTTGTTACACCCTCACACTAATTGGGTTAATGTTTGCAGAGGCGAATACACACCATTCACTCCTAGGTTAGGTAGCATTGGAAACATATAACATACCTAGTATATGATTCCAGCAAAAGTAGTGATTGAGCATATTGAGCTCAACACACTAAACATGGACACGTGGCTTAGACACATACATTGTCAACCTCTAGCCTTTGCTGACGCTGAGCATGTCATGCCCTTTTTTGAGTTTGAATATAGTATAGGATTTATACCCAATGATAGATAACCTAAACATAGGTTCACCATACACTTAGGCGCCTCCTTTATCTAGTCAGTCTAGGATGAGTTCATCTTCCTTTCCTAAGGGATGATGCACTTTTCACTTTCACATGCGACCAGGTGAATCGACTGAAATTCTTTACCTATGCAGAATATGAATCTAGACTTCTATTTTCCCTACCACAGTGAGAAGATAAATGGGCCTTCTTGATCACACGTGACCAAAATGTAAGTCCCCTCTCGAAATCTTCTCTATCACATTGAGAAGATTTTCGAGCTTACTTGATGGCATAGAATCAAGCTATAAGTCTCATCTGTTCCATCATTACACATCATTCCATTCCTAGCATCCCCTCAAACACATTGAGGGGATATTCAGGGCTTTGGTCACTTCTTTGATGTCTTACCTACTACATTGAGAAGACAACTAGCTTTTATTGGTCACCACACGACTAAGAATTAAGTCACACTTTTGACATATTCTCTATCACATCAAGAAGATTTTCAAACTTGCTTGATGCCACAGAATCAAAGTATAAGTGAAAACTTTTCCATCATTTCACATCATTCCATTCCATAGCATCCCCTCTACCACATTGAGGGGACACTCAAGATTTCCTTCACTTCTTTGATGTCTTCTCTACCACATTAAGAAGATATATGGACTTTCTTGGTCATCACTTGACCAAAATGGAAGTCTCATTATTGACATCTCCTCTACCACCTTAAGAAGAACTCTAAGCTTGTTCAATCACACACAATTGAATTGCAAATCCCACTCCTTAAATGTCTCCTCTACCATAGTGAAGAGATATTCAGGATTTTACTCATTGGATGTCTTTTCTACCACATTGAGAAGACGTCTACATCTCTCATCTTAATCACTGTCAGTCATCGCCATCAGCCCCACCACCGCTGCTTGTGACCATGGCCAACCTTTACACTAAATTTATTTTACTTAAAACTAAACACAAAAATAATCTCCCACATTTGTTTTACATTAAATTAAATAACTCTAAAACATTTCAAGTACACGACATTTATTTTACACTTCATTTTATCATGCATTTGTCTTTCAACAACCAAACAACCCCTTAATGGAACGTGTTAATTCCCCTTTGATTTTGGAGAAATTTCACCATTTTTATTCCTTGGATTTTGGAGAAATTTCACCTTTTTTATTCATTGGAGCATAGTTCTTTCCTAGGAGAAAATTAAATTCAAGATAGACAAGATTTTCTCTATGTATATGCATTTTAAATTTATTAAGAATTAGTTATTCTTTAAGTTATTTTTTATTTTCACCGGGGTTATTATCTAATACGATCTTAAGGGTATATTGAACTTTTAGCTGTCAAAAATTTTCAATAAATAATCCCTTATGCTTTGTTAAACATAGACACAAAAAGAGTTAAATGAAAATTTCCTGCATCACATATTTTGGCGTCCTAATCTTCTTTTGTTCTTTGAACATTCTTTTAAGGTTCAACATCTACAACTTGATTATTCATTATTTAGTATCTTTTTCTTTTGTTTCTTTAAATTCCAGATTAAATCTACCTGAACACTTTTACACCGCCTATCATGAATCATAAACATAATTTTAAGTAGTGTCGCCAATCTTTCTAGTTGTTGAGTTGAGTTCTCAATTCTAGGGATAAATTTGGGTAATAACTAATGTCATAAATGAAAACTTCGAATGTACTCAGAACAAGTGAATAACTCAATATATCATCATCATTTTAACTATGACCTCTCTCCATCCCTTTCAACCTGTATTTGTGACGAACAAGAATGAAAGGGTAAATCAAATGGGGAGTACCATAAAATGGTGTGTAATCTTTGGTTGGCCTCATATCCTGCATTGGCAAGCTCAATGAATTGGGCAAATCTGCCTAGTATGATCAAATTCTAGAAAAAAAGCATCTAATGGGATCTGGAAATCGAGCATATAAGATAATTCTTGCTAAACGAAGAGAGCTGAAGGATGTGTTGTCACTTTATGCTGTAAGAGAACTGACGGCTCACGGCATGTCACACTCCTCCGCCAAAGGATGTTTATGACAAAAAATAATTCTCATAGGTTGAAACATACAAGGCAAGAAAAGGGTCCAAGCGTAAATGTCACTAGCATAGTAGGCAGAAAGTGATATTAAAAGGATAATGTTTTTACCAGCCCTTCTTAAAACTCCTGCAGTATTTTGCTTAGCTCGAAAAATATGAACATGTATTGCCGTGTCTGCTTCAAGAAACTCGAAAACACAAACATCCCCTTCTTTCAAATGATTTACATCTCTAAATTTAGCCCACCCTTTTGCCATAGCTACACGTCCGATCCAGTGAGCTATTCTTACAGGCCAGGACCTCCCCTTTTGATCTTGAAGGATGATAGCTTCCATGCTTCCAAGGTCACATTCCCTCATAAATGAAGCAGGAATAGTCTGGAAACAACAACATTGTTTAATCAATCTTTTTTTGTATCATTGTGGATGCATAATTGGATAAACAAAGATGGCAATGAAAAACATAATACAATAAATATTGACATTGCATCTGATAAATCCTTCTCAATTTCTAAAAATGGTTCAAGAATTCAAGATTGACCTTACTGCATAGCTATATATTAATGGGATCCATAGGCAACAAATCTAGCCATGTACCTTCCTATGAAGTCATAAGCCATGTGTTTAATGGAAGCAATCAATAGAGGAAAACGATCAATTTTGATAGAGCAGAAAAAGAGTATCATTCTTTCATAAACAACGCAACATCTAGAAATAAGATGTTTCGATTTCTGACATTTTGGAAATATTGACATTGCACCTGATAAATCCTTCTCAATTTCTAAAAATGGTTCAAGAACTCAAGATTGGCCTTACTGCATTGCTATATATTAATGGGATTCCTAGGCAACCAATCTAGCCATGCACCTTCCTATGAAGCCGTAAGCCATGTGTTTAATGGAAGCTATCAATAGAGGAAAACTATCAATTTTTATAGAGCAGAAAAAGAGTATCATTCTTTCATAAACAACGCAACATCTAGAAATAAGATGTTTCGATTTCTAACATTTTGGAAAAATATAAATGCTTTTGGAAGAATAAAAATTAGAGAAAAGAGAGGAAAAAAGATAGAAATGAAGCATGAGAGAAGATTGCTTTCAAAGGCTTCCCTCTAATTCTCTTGAGATTTCGTTTTGTTTGGATATTTTTTGTATAAGATAAATCAACCAAGCAAAGCAAACAAACGACAAAATGGAAGAACCAACCAAGTCAATTGTCATAAACGTATTCTTCTAAAATATTAAATGCAGTGTACTTTGATAAATCTATAATGAAAATATTTAACCAGTATGCTTGTCTTTGCGCTTTCATGAGTTCAAACGAGTTTTGTACCTTTCATCTTTTGAAAAACTTAAAATTCCATAAATGATTGCTAATAAACACTCGTCCAGATAACTACAAGGTAAATGTTTGCTGGATGTTGATTTTATTTCGAACATCTTTCAATCCCACTCCCTCAAATAAGATCCGATTCATTTGGTGGAAAGCTCTTCCACTGAAACTTTTAATCCTTTTACCACAAAAAAGAGTTCATGTCTCCAATCATTTGCATATCACGTAACCATTATAATAAACATAATTTCTAATGGAAAACCAACCAGAAGAATCTACAACAATGTAAAGAACAAATCCTCATAACAGTTGGTTGTCGCCCTTAAATTGTTATCCAACCGCATCTAAATGCCAAAGTTTGCATGCAAAATTTTTTAGAATGTGCTATTGTTGAAAGCTACTGTTTGTCGAAGAAAAATAGGCGTGAACCTCGCTCTCACAAGCTTAAGGTCCCCTATTTCCTTGAGGTAGATTAGATTTAAAATTTAACCAGATTTCCCCTGAGAATAGTGTCAGGGTTTATTAGATCTGATCCTACTTCCTATGAGCGCAAAACCCTCATAGTTAATTACCCATTCTAACGCGTAGAAGAACATTCCCGATTAAGGATGAAATTATATTCAGTCTATGCATAAAGTGTATGTGTGTGCAACAGTGTGAATGCTTTAAACACTTGTTGTAGGGGATGAAGGTAGACCCGATCAAGATCTCATGGTTCCGTCATCCCGGGAATCATAGGTTTCAGTCTACCAACACTAGCCACCATTGATTGTAGTGCCTAGATAATCTGATTAGCAGCCATGGATTGCCTCCTCTTAGGGATCCCGAGTAGACTGAAGTGAATATGTGTAGGATGTTTGGTCTGGGTTGGGACTTGTGACTCCATTTAGAAGTTGCCCAAAGTTTAGATTTAAATTGAGTCTTACGGTCCCATTTAGAACTTTCCCATATGATTGAATTTGGGTAGGGGCTTACGACTTTCTTTTGAAAGTAACCCTAATGAAGGGTCTTACGACCTCTATTAGTGGTGGCCTAAATAGCGAGTCTTACAGCTTAGCCCTATAGACTAAGATGCTCTATGATTTTGGATGTTCAAATAGGTCCTATGGCTTCTAAATTTAAAAGCTATCTTACGACGGATCTTACGACCTACCTCTGTAAGCTAAGTGACCCATATAGTGGATCTTACAACCTAGCCCTGTAGACTATGATGCCCGTAGATGGGTCTAGGATTATGTTATTACCTAGACATTTTTCCTTAAAAGTTGGACTTACAACTTTCATTGAAAGTGGCCGATTTGTGAGTTTAGGGTTAGGTTAGTTTTACCTAAAGATTTCTATTAAGATTGGCCTTACGACTTCTATTATAAGTTGTTGGGCAAGAGGTTTAGGGTTAAGTTAGTTTTACCTAAAGATTTCCCTTAAAATCGGTCTTACAAGTTACAACTTCTATTAGAAGTTGCCCAAACTTAGAACTCAATCACGAAGGACCTCAAACATCACAATCTTATATAAAAAATGCTTTCAAAACAATAAGATTCAAAGGAATAGGTAGTAAATCGCTTTTTTATGAGTGCCATATTTCACATTGAAATGTAGAACAATCCATATTTTAAAATAGCACAGGAAATAGTTAGTTAAGCAAAACTATGATGCCCTAGTCTACAATGTCAATGTATTATTGTTCATGAGAACTACTATTCATCCTCTCCGAGTGTTGGTTCACAAATTCACAATAAGATTCAAAGAAAGTAATGTTACGATAATGATCAATTTTCAAACAAAAATAAAATGAAGATGCGAGAATAACCAAACTAAATATCCCAAACACAAGTCATGCAAGTTGGTGCGATTCTATGCGATTCACTACGTCCATGGCCGCACAAAGATAAAATATTTAACTAAGATTCATAAGAGATACATAAAAGAGATTATACTTTATATGATTAAAGACGAAAATATTACTCTATTTATGTTAACAATAGAGAGGGAACACAATCATTTTTTGTAAAGAAGAAAGCTAGTCATGAAGAGTATGACATTAATGTTTCTTTTCCTTCTCTCTTCACTTCTCAGGTACGAAAGATTATTCCTCTCTTCTCTTCTCTCTTCCACTTCTCTCCTTTTCATTTGTTTGTGATTGTGAGATACCTTAACACAATGCAACCACTTCTATATATAGTACTGAAGAAATGGTAGTTAATAAGCTTGAGATTGAAAGCCTCCATCTTAGTAAAACAAGTGTGAATTGAGTTATGTAAACACTATTGCAAAAAACTTAAGTATGAATGAATCATAAATTGACAGCCAATAAACTTAAAAAAATCAAGATTAAGTCTTATCAAAGGTAGTTAATAAAATGAGACTCTAAACTTAACAATATAACATTTGGAGTCTGAATTCCCAATGTTCCAGCTCAACAATCATGCCTGAACGATTTTATATGCAATGCCTCCTTATCATCATTCATTGAGACTAACTCAGGCTTTACAAAACCATAATTTTTAGCAGAAATATTTTTTGAAAGCATAATAGCAAAAAAATTTTGCTTCTTTAATTTTAAATAGCTAAAATGCATAAACTTCAAGCAAGCTATTTATATAGAGGTGCTATTTTGCTAAGTGAATAATAACATGATTGTGACAAAAGAGAGTGAAGCCTTTTTCAGATTGTTTTAATTCTTTCAAGAAATTTTTCAGTCATACCATCTCATTGCTAGCTTTAATGATCATTATGAATTTTGCTCCATGATTGATAGTATGACTATCTTCTAAAATTGTGACACCCAAATGATAGCGATACTGCCCAACAGGAAGATGTATCCGGTAGTACTTATTCATGTATTTAGGCTTCCTCCTGGATCTAAATTAATTTAGCATAGTAATTCCAAGTCAATTCTTTTGAACTTAAAAGAATTGTTGATCATATTTTTAGATGGCGTAATATCTATTTGGTAGCTTCTTAGTGCTCTTTTGATGGATTAGACATGTATATGTTGATTGCTCCCAATGCTTGTATAATATCAACTATTATGCAAATCATTAAATATATAAGAGATCCAACAACAAATGCATAGAAGATTGTAGCAAAGTGCTCTTTCTCCTCTTCAATTTTTTTCATGTGTTCCTTAAATAATCCGAAAAGAGTAGTTGTAGAAAACCAATTTGATTCGAAAAACTGAAGGAACCCTAAAATCACAAAACCCTAATCACGCCGACAGCACAAATCGCCCGTCTCCCACCTCTGTAGGTCTCAATTTAAGAGGAGCAAAGTCAAGAAATCACACTCAACCTTATCTCTCTTCCCTCCTAAGCCAATAATAGGGATCCTTCTTTGTCTACTACCTTGAACAAAAGCTTCATAACCACATGCCTCTCCCTGCTCCCCTCACAAGTTTGACTCCAATAATGGTGAGCTTCATCTTCCTCCTCTTCTCACTTGAATTTTCCTTCTCAATTTTTCTTTTAAAAGTATATTTCTCTCAAAGCTATCACTTTTCCCTTCAGAAGCGTTCTTTGAGCTCACCATCTTTAACATTGGAGATCTAATTCACATCTTCTTCTCCACTTTTTCCCTCACTTAACTCATAAACATAGATCAACCTAAGTTATTAGTTATAGTTAATTTTAATTTAGCCTTCATTTTAATGAAGCTTTATAATAATTTTTATGTTTAGGCTTAATTGTGTTAGTTTTATCCCGTAATAATGATCATAATGAATTCGGTTAAATTTGGGGTAATATATGCGGAATAAGTTACACTTATCCGATTTAGCAATCAATCTGTAATACTCTTGTAGCATTCCAAAGTCAGAAAAAAATTTAGCACCGATAACTAAAAAATTATTTATAAAAAAAAACAACAAACCATGTATTCCTGACGAGATCTTCTATACGTTGCGATGAAAAAAGGACGGCTAGACTTGAAAGACCGAGCAGAATTTAGAGCGCTCTCATTGCTGAACACCTTTAACCCTCCCAGTATAACACGCCCATTTAGGATTTCCCCTAAAGATCCAAAGGTAAAAAGACAATAGAAACAAAAATGAGGATCAAAATCTTAAGCGTAAGCTTGCAAATAAAACTATTAAAACAAGAGGAACTCACGCCTCCGTCCTGGAGCCCGAATGAGCGCGGTACTAGTCTTAGCTGGTACTTTTTCTCTTATTTCCATCTCCTCTTCCTGCTCCACTTTCATACTAGCAATAGGATCTACCTTCTCGCAACCAGTGATCCCGTATATCTTCACATCAAACCCTAGATCGCCATCATAAACAAATAGCAAAAATTCCCCCAACTGAATGGAGAGATCGGAAACAAAGCACTCCCATCCTTCCCCGAAGAACAGATTTTTGCCCTCCCTCCTCAACATCACAGCCCATCGCCGCCCACCCCGACTCCTGAGCACCGATTTAACCAAGATTTCCCCGCTAAGGTGCTCGTGGAAACAGGGAGGAATCCGCTGAAAGATAGAAAAGAATGAGAGAATGAAGCAGCTCAGCTGAAATCTAGGTTTTGAAGGAATCGAAGTATACCAATCTTGTTTGGAAGTCCCCGATCATGACTTTGAAGAAAGAGTCTCTCTCCCAAAGCGGTTTCTCCATGGCCAGCAGCTCCTATGGAAGTGAAGAGAATGAAACTGGGAGAAGAAATGAGATTTTAGAGGTGGGAATGACAGAAGAAGGGTTCGCGCCATTTTAAAGCGGCGGTTGTCGCGAAGGAAAACAAAGGACGGTGGAATCCGGGAGTGGAAGCGAGAGTGAGTGGAACGAGGAAGGGGCTGGCTTTTATCGTCTAGCCGTTAGCAGTTAATAGCCGTAGGAATATTTCAGCTGACAATTTTTAGAAATTGTTAAGACTTATTAAAAAAAACATGAGATTTTTTTTTTTTAAATGGTTAGGGTTCATGTCAAAGTCTCCAATTTCTCTTTGGGCCAATAAAAATATTTATATATAACGTTTATATTCTAATTTTGCCTTCTCCATCTTAATTATTTTATACATTAGTTAAAGCAAAATTCTCAATAATATTGAAGGGTGTCAATTCGGTCAACGAATCGAGTTCGGGTCGAACCCGATTATAAATAGATCAACTTGAATCCGACTCATTTTTTGGAAAGCCAAAAAGATAAGACGGGGAAACGAGAGAACTCAAAACTCAGTGTCGCCCTACTCGGCCACTCCTAAGATTTGAACGGTTGAACCACAAAGCAAACAGACAAACATGACGAAGCGTCAAAGCCAGCTTAGATTTCAGGTTAAATTTGGATTAGCATGTTGACCCGAACTTAATCCTATTTTTCAAACGGATAAAAAATTGTAACTCGAAAATGATCAGTTTATTAAACGCATCGACCCAAACCCAAAACTTTTGGGTCGTGTCAAAAATTGACACCCTAATGTTGAATAATAAGTTAATGGTTATTTACAATTTTTATTATCTTTTATTTAACTAATTATTCATTATATATACTTATCAATATTGTACATACTTATATTTTCTTTCTCATTTTAAATGCAATATTTTTTACTATGATCCTAGACTAAAAATCAATAAAAAAAAAAAAATCAGCTGAATTGATTGGAATCAAAGGAATGAATTTTATTTTAGAATAAGGTATTTTACTTTGAGTTTCTTTAGAATAAATATTAATGATTTTAGTTCTCAAAATTAACAATCTAACTTCAATTTAATATCTTGACATAACTATCAAGAAAACTTCCAATATATTTCTCCCAAAAGAGAACCCAAACCATTAACTTTGATGATATTTAAGACATAAATATATTACATAATGTTGAAGATTATGAATAAAAAAATAAAAAAAAGACATAAATATATTACAAATACATTGAAGGAAGAAGTTGCATGCCAATAAATAAATTAGACATGCACTACAATACATACACTTAGCACATGAAGCAACAAAGATCTATTACCAATATTAGATAGGTATTGAATCTTTTAGTTCATCTTTCAAGAACAATATTACTATAGCAAATAATCTCCTCTAATTCATATTTTGAAGTTAATTTATCATAGAAAAAACAAGTAATGTAAAGCAAAAGTAATCATAATAAGGGTGCCCAAATTAAGGAGAAATAATCCTGTGTGGAGATCGAACACATAACACCGTCCAGAGACCAACCAGAATATGCCACATTAGTGATACCGAGCAGTACCGAGCCGCGGTATCGAGCACAGAGGTTACGTGACGCATTCTGATTGATATCCTAACAGCGTTCGATGTTCGCACAGAATAATTAATACAAATTAAGACACCTATTTAGATTAGCATAGTGTATATTACTCAAGAGCAAATGATTGCTCATTTTCAGGAAACTAGACAACAATTAGTTATTGTCACTATTATGACAATGTTTCCCTTACCAATTTACATGTTATAATTGCCTAACTTGGTCATCCATTTAATAAAGATGAGCTTATATGTCAATGAAACCCTATTATTGCATGCCAAAAGTACAACACAAAATAACATATTTACTCCTAAGCTCTAGAAGAGAAAGTCCATTCGTTTGGGATTGCTTTCTTACTGCTTTTTAAAATATTTTTTAGTACAAAGATTAAAAACTACTTTAAGAAGCAGTAAGAAAACTGTCACAAACGAAGCCTAAAACTCCACTCCGATAAACATGTATAATACTAATCCCTCCAACCATCTTGCCGCATGCGACAACATTCTATTTTTGTACGACAACCCATATGTAAGAAAATTATGCATATTTTCCATCACCTTCAATAGTTTAACAAATAGGTGGTTTAATAATTCATTAAAAAATTAATAAAAATAAATTAAACAAATCTCATATTTATACTTAGGTACTCCTACTTATTGCACAACAAAATTAAATATACTAATTATGAGAATATATAATGTACAACAACAAAATACATTGATTCCATGCCTATAAATAATTTCATCAAAAACCTTTGAAGCATATATTTATTAACTTAAAGCTTGTCCGCCCAGTCACAGCTCCATAGGCTCCTCAACTTTTCCTGAAACCAACGACAACACAAAAAATAAAATAGGTGAGCGATAAACCCACGGGGTTACATAAAATCTACTATTGATTTTAATGCATAAAAAGAAGAGCATCATGCTCTTGCTTGAAGGTTAGCTTATAAATAATGAGAATATATTCTCATAAAAAGAAGAGCAAATTTCATCATTTTAAGAGAATATATTTTCTATACAGTAATCGAGCACATTAACATTTTGTTTGAAACAGCTTTCTTAATGTTTTCAAAAACAATTTTCTAGTTTCTAGTATTAAAATCTTTATTTAAAAGTAGCGCAAGCTTAGCACAGAGGCTAGTGGGAATATAAGTTGTTTTTAAGGTCAATATGTAGTATGTACTATAAATAAAAGAGAACCATCAAGCCTCTTGCTCTCTCAACTCTGATTTCTATGTAGAAGTGCTCCAAATCTTTTTTTTTTTTGGAAATTTGGGGCAAAAGCCCATATATTAAAGAAAATTTAAATACAAGTAAACCATATACCAGGAAAACCATCTACGAAAAACAGGGAAAAGAAGGGGAGAAAGCTGAGAAAACCAAAATGGTCTCAGGGGGAGGCTAACATAGAAGCAACAATTACAACAGAACGAGATAAGACAAAAACAAAATTGCCAAAAAATACTCAAGCAGCCAACAGATCCCAGAAAGATGGCCATCCAGGGGAGACCGGTTGCCAAAATTCTCCAAAAAAACAGTGACCAAAACCAGCAGCTGATCAGAACCGAAGGCAGAGAATGTCCATCATCAAACTGTGTAAGTGCACAGGATAGCCTCATCATCATAGACCAATCAAAACACTCACAGCCATCCGCAAAAAAAACCAGCAAAAAAAAGCCAATTAGGCTCCAAATTCAAAATTGAGCAGAGCATACCGGTTCGAAATCCGTTCCCAACCATTCCAGTATTTTGCTTTTTGAGAAAGGGCAAATTTGATGTTTTGAATAAGCTCATAAGGGTGTTTCCAGGAGTTACTGAACCTCCTGCTATTCCTTTCTCTCCCCAAATGGTAAATCGTGAATGAAACAAACAAAGAAGCAGAAATTTTTATCCTCCACGTTATTGTTATCCAGATAGTCAAGCAGTTGAACTAGATTGGGCCTCAACAAGAAGTTGTTTAAGCCAGGAAGTAAGATAGAAATCACCGTATAAGTAAAATCACATTCAAAAAACAGATGGTTATGAGTTTCCAGTTGACCAACACAAAAGGCACAGTTGGGGTTCACCGAAATACCCCTTTTTAACAAAACATCAGCCATTTTAAGCTTCCCAATAATTGCCATCCACGAATAACAGGAATACCGTAAAACATATTTCTTATGCCAGATAAATTTATGCCAATTAACCTCGTTCAAGAGCTCAAAAAACTGCGCAATGTAAGCTTTAAAGGAAGGTTTGGAGGAACCCAACCAAGACAAAGCAGGTTTATCATTAACTGGACAGTTTATAATAGCCATTCTAAGGTGTTCTGGCCAAGTTACAGGTAGGTTCCAGGAATCATTAACCCAAAAAGAGTCAAGGAATAGCTTTTCAAAGTTCCCAACAGGAATGAAATCCACCAAAGCATGACCGTTGCACCAAGGGTCCCAAGCCATAGAAAGGTTAGCATGCGTATTCACCGAAAGATTGACACAGGATTTAATTTTTTGAGCAACCGAGCAAATTAATTTCCAGAACTTACATGCTTGAGAGCTGGGTGACTTCCAGACAGTAGTTGTGCCTAAACCAGGTGGAGGCCATAGACTGAGAATTATATAGCCTCCAAATAAAAGATACAGAAGATGCATGATACAAAGCCTCAATAGAGTTGATTCCTAGGCCACCTAAATGGGTAGGAATAGCAGTGTCTTTCCAAGCTATTAAGTGCATTTTCTTACCACCAATTTTACCATGGAATAAAAATTTAGAGCAAAGACTAGTAATAATTCTCTGACATTTCCGAGGTATAATGGAACCTCTAATCCAATAAGCAATGGTGTTGGCAATTGTGAATTTAAGGAATTGAACTCTACCTGCAAAACAAATAAACTTGACTTTACAACCGTCAAGTAGAGTAGAAATTCTACTCAATAGCGGTTGGAAGTGAGAAAATTTGAGCCTGGTGTGAGAGACGGGAAGTCCCAGGTATTTCAAGAAAGATTCCACTTTAGAAATGCCCAAAATGTGACAGACAACCTGAGAGTGAATAGCAGTTTTTGAGAATAAAATGGAACTTTTCTCAGGATTGATAAAGAGGCCAGAAGCATTTGCAAAGTAATTAATCGATTCCATGAGGGAGATAGCAGAGCTAGGAGTAGCATTACCAAAGATAAGCAAATCATCCGCAAACAATAAATGATTCAAAGTTTCCCCATTCTTAAGGCACCGGAGCTCCAAAGCTCCGGTGCTCCAAATCTTACGTTGGGGTGTTGGAGAATATGCTTTTTAAGGCTAAAATGAGAATACTATAGACCGCTTACCGACGCTTCAATTGCAAGCTAATTGAGAAAGATATGAATAAAAGACGCATTCACGTGAGGCAGGATCCCAAACGAAGCCTGAATCATATAACCTAAACCCTAAACAACCAAAAGTGATAGTGATACCAAGAAAAATCTAACTAAGATGTTAAACAAAAAAAGTATATCCTAAGAAAAAAACATATTTATCCAACCAATATTGATTGGTTTGGTTTCAGTTCCCTAAAAACCTACCCCTCTTCCTAAATTTTACCATTCGCATTTGTCCAGGTAGAATCTCCAAGCCTCAAAGAACACAAGAAGTACAATCCACTAAAGGATTCCAACGGAACAAATTCAAATAGTAAAAAGCGACCAAACTCATGCAGGTAAGAAAAATCATCTTGATGGTCCTAAAAGGATTGATATGTAAACCAAGCTCAAACTCTACAAGTAATCCTAGAAAATTGACACAAGGGCTTTATGACAAGTTTATCAAAAACAGGGAAACTCAAGAACTACAAAATTTCAGTTAGGCTACATTGCGGTACAAATGAATATTCACATCATGTTGGCCTTTTTTGTTAATAATGCAGTTATCATTAATATCAACAATATAATGTGAGATATAATGGTGAAATATTTTTAGGATTATAACATTAAAGACTATACAACAACAACAAGTTTTTATCCCAATACGTGGGGTCGGCTACATGAATATTTTTTCTCCATTGTGTCATGTTAAGAATTAAATTCTCATTTAATATGAGCAATTCTAAACTTCACAAAAATCATTCCAAATCTCACAAAAACTCCGAAGTTAATCAGAGCCTGGTTGTGGATCCAATATTCAATTTTCGCTGCACTTAAAAAACTTTTTTTTTTTAATTTTTTAGGAGAAGTACAACAAATCTAAAAAATATATGTTCAATGTCATCTGATTCCATTACCGTAAGGAAAAATCAATTAATGGACCAATTGTATTATTAAATAACTTTAGCTTGATGGTTATCCTTGAACATACATTGCAACTTTGGACAGAAAAGATCATATTTGTATCACCATATACATGAGTAACAAGTCACCCATTAGTACCAAACATGAAAAGAGAGGCAAACCAACAGATTAAAAACCAAAAGTGGAGGTAAATGCCTATTTTTTACACAGTGCAAGCTTAATTACCCTCTTTTAAATAAGTAGAAGTCCTATATACCCTCAGTTAGAATCCCTTACCCAATTCATTAATCAATTCTCCGCTAGTCTAGCTCCTTCTTAGTCCCTAAAATTTTCTCTCCCTTCTTCTTATCCTTAATATAACATTTTATCTCCCTGATAAGGTTGTCATCAAACAAAATTAGACAGGAAGTTCTTCTCCATGACAATGGAACCTCACATCTCCTCCCTAGCCAGAATTAAGTAATGAGCATTTCTTTGGCAGAGAAGGAGGGCAAGGCAGAATATATTGCAAGCCTTGCTGATGATGCACATTATAAAATATTATCTAGATTATATAAATTTTCTATGTAGTAACATTTATGATATTTTATTTCCATGAAGATAAAAAAGCTCTCTCTCATATAAGGATTCCCCCATTTTGTAACTTCTTTCCCTTCTTCGTTGTGCATTATCCTGAACCTTACTTATGGTCTCTCTGCCCACATGGGTTCATTTATACATTTCGCTTCCCATGGAGCATTTCAATCCATCAAGGCCCAACATCTAACTTCGATGTTGTTCCACTTTACAACAAAATCCAACGAAAACATTAGGAAAGATGTATGATCACCATAAGGAAAGGATCCATATGGTGGTTTTCATTCAGGGGACCTAGTTATGCTTTATTGCATAGATTTACACCTCCTAGAAAGAAAAAAACTTGTAACTAGGAATGCAGAGGAAATGTCCAAGGAATTTAAATTCCCAATACATACATACTCAACACCATTATAGAATCACTTTGTTCTTCCTTACATTGTATGAACCATTACTTGCACAAAGAAAACTCTAGTGAAAAAGATAAATTATGTCTTTGTTCTTCCTTCCAAGAAGATAACATTTGGTGTTGGGAATTAATTTCCTTAAAGAATCACTTTATGGTACCTTCGGGGAGGTTTCCCGACACCCAGTGATATTGTATGAACCATTATGTTGTTGAAAACACACAACGCCAAATAATAACTACTGAAAGAAATCAAACATTAACTTGATGCCATGTGCAATGTCATAGAAAGGTTTTTTATTTCATGGAGCCCCTAGCAACACGGAATTAATTCCTACTAAAGACAAATTCAAACTAGAACAAATAGAATTGATTTCACGTTTTCACCATGATAGTTTTATGAAACAAAAAGAAGGCTACAACTTCGACCATAGACAATAATGGTTAATGGCTGATATAGAAGTATAAGTTAAGTCAAGTAAAAACATTTCAGACAATATCACACAGTGATTGTTGCACAAAAGGCATAAAATAGCATAAATAATCTATAATGTAAAACACTAAGGCTTCATTTGGGATGGCTTTATTACTACTTCTTAAAGCAGCTTTTTAGTACAAAATTTGTAAGAAAACCATCCCAAACGAAGCCTAAATCAATAATGATAACATATATAGTCACAAAAGAACTTTAGTTCTAATTTCACACTAATTCATTCTCCTCGTGAATAAAAAAAGCACATATGATAGGCTGTTAAGCATCTAATGCCCATATTTATGAAATGATTTGATAGTGTCATACAAACAAAAATGCAATTGTAAAAGATGAGTTCAATAGAAGCACAGGAAGAAGTTTGAACTAGAAAAAGATAACAAGAGTTATTTGTTACAGATTTTATGTTAGAACTTGGGATTACAACTTTGAGCTGATATTACTCACTCGCAATAGCATATTATGGCCAAGCAATTCCAAATTCCATCATGAAGGGAGCAGAGTGAACAAAAACGAGTAAAAATTTATTTTAAGACATTCAATACAAATTAGCATTGTACCTGCAAAGTCCGGTATTTCTTTCTCACAAGCTTTCATCACGACCAGAAGGCTCGGTTTGCATTATTGTTCTCCCAACCCCTCTATACCACAGGAAAACAAGCCATACCGTTCTCCACAATCCACCATTTGCAAAGTGAGGAATAAGCAATCGGCCCCAATATGGGTAATACGGGCCGGGCAGTTTAAGCAACAAGAAGAAGGTCGCAACCATAAGCAAATGCCATGGGAACTCTCCTTCCTAGTTCCAAAGCATTATCCAACAAATCAACAACTCATGAGTAAATACAAAAGAATAAACAGCACCAGGCATAGAACGAACCTTGAAGCCAACGGATAGCTCAATTGCAGTGTCGACAAGTACACCGGCAAGAACAAACCCAATAAGAAACGGGAACGGCACGAGCACCAGCTTCTTTTCGTGGCCGCAGTAAGACATCTCGCTCAAAGACGAGACAGCAAGCATTGGTATAAAGAGATACTTACCCACCGCGCAGGCGAGGTCGAACAGGAGACGGAAGAAGCTTTCCAGTGCTTTGACCCACGGGAACTTCTTTACTGGTTGAGGCAAATCGTCAAAAAGCTTCTGTGCGGTGGTAATAATGTAATCAAGGCTAAGCCTTTGACCAGGATCGCTAGGGTTTCCCGCCGGAAGATTGATGGCGCGGGGAAGGAACCGGCCATAGGTGGAAAAGGAACAAAGAAGCACCGGTGATGGAGGGCGGAGGGGCTTCGGCCATTGAAAGGATGAACGAGATGAAGGAGGTAAGGATAGTGGCGGGGCAGCAGTGGAGATTTTGGAGGGAAGAAGTAGAGTACAAGGATACAGGAGAGAAGAAGATATGGAAGACATCGACGATGAAAGGAGCGTGCTTGATGGCTTGGTGAATGGCAGCAGTCGATCAGTGCGGGTACGGTTTTGGATGCGACTTGGGCGAGATCAAATAGTAATTTTTTTGAATTAAAACTACTTATATTTTTTAGCAAAAATAAATCTATCTCAAAAATCACAATTTTGTTTAGTTTTAAATAAATGAGGAAATTAATTTTTTTATTCATAAGCACTTCAACAACAACAACAAGAATTAAATTTTGAAAATATGCCTTAAGATGCATAAGAAACATATGTAAGATGAAGTGAGAACATGAAAGACCCAAAAAGTTTTGTCACATTGAGTAAAATTATAGAGATTCCACCATAAAAAATGGCATTTGTGAATAGTGTGCGCAAATACTGGCGTCACATTATTCACCTCGTGAAAATGTCGCTAAATATCGTGTTCGATTGGAGCTCGCGGCGGATGGAAAACGCTCGTTCTTGTTCAGTTGGAGATGGCCTAAGGGATTAGCCTAATTTCCCTTTAAAATAAAATTCTAATATGGAAAACCAAATTACAACTACAGAAGATAAGGAAAAGATATTATAGTGAGCTGCATCAAAAGTGAAGTGCTAAAAAAAAAGAACAACCTATAACATAAATAAATCACTTAATAAAATTTTGGAGACAATAACCAAAAGAACTCCCTCATAACAAAATTCAATCATATAAGATGTTCCCTTGGTTTCCAAACTAACATATAAGGTGTGGTCCTAGTTGCCAAGACGACCATCCAAGTGGAAAGTGACTGCCAAAAAATTCTCCGGGAGGGGGGGGGATACATTCATCATAGTTCAAACCTGGCCAACACAATTATCGAGCAAACAGAAAATGATTGAAGTTCTCAGTAATCAATCGACAACAAAATAAGTAATACCTGAAGTCGTAAAGATATCCATCCAATTATTAATCAAATATCCAAAGGCCATAAAGTCATAAAGCTATAAAGGGACTAGTATAATTAGAAAAGAGGGAGCAAAGAAGGGACACCATAACCACCATGATAAAATGGGTGTCATTCCAAAGAAAAGTGTACTGCCTTAAGAAATTAAGTGTATAACCTCATACAATCCTTTCCAGCTAGCAATTTTGATACAAATAGTTTTCCTGATTTTACAGGAAATAATCGAGAGACTATCAAAATTAGTCTCAAATCTTTAGAAATCCTTTCCCTCGAAATATGGTAAAGAGAGCAAAAGATAACAAAATAATAGCCATTTTTTAACATCATTAACATGAGTCAAGTCATAAATGAAATAAAAAAGTTGCATTAGATTTGGTTTCATGAGGAAGCAATTCATCCAAGGGATCAGAATGGAGATTATACTAAATGCGTAATCTTATTAGAGTGGTACAACACTGTACTTGAGAGAGAAATAGTGTTATGCTTGAGAACGCAGCAGCATTAGAAATTATCACCGTGTCATTAAAGGCTCTATTTTACAATAATTCTGAATTCAACTTACAACACAGAGGCATTGTATTAGAAGTGTTGCTGCACCAGTCACTAAAAATAAATTTTAATATATTTTTCTAATATCCCTTATCACCGCCCACTCCCTCACTCACTCTTGTTGCTTGGCCGGGAAGAAAAGGAAAACAAGAAGATGGGGAGGGAGAGAGAAATGAAAGAGAAAATCCTGCAAGGCTTTTTCATCCATTGTTCATGTTATAAAATTTATTTTGTTTGTAGTAAGTGACTAGACCCTTACTTCTGTTTTTTATGAATTTGATTTCTATATATTTTATGACTTATAAATATATCAAAAATGAATTATCTCCTAATTCCATAAGCTTTCACTGTAAAACTTTTTATATGCCATCGATTTGAATATTATGAATAATTTCATATGATTTTACTACATTTTCACCGATTAAATATGTATATAGAAAATTTTATGTGAAATTAGTAGAGAAAAATGTGTACCAAAAATTGGTTGAAAAATGATGTACTCTAATTTTGATATGACATTGAAATGTAATATATGCAAAAATATTGATATAATTAATATGTTTTGAAATGTAATACTGATATTAATATGATAGGAATACTAACATGATAGATCTTACTAGATGGAATAATTGGCATAAGTGTATAGAATTAGGAAGTTGAATGACTGATTTAATACACCGTAAGGTTTGGTTAAGTGATATATTGATTGATATTGTATATATGTTATGATAACTCTAAGTGATACCCTCAAGATCCACGTGATTTACTAATAAGAGTTATAAGGAGCTAGAGACTGATAAGGGAGTCATAAGTGTATATACCCAAAATATGAAAACGCATTTTAAAATGAAATATTTGATTTATGTTTGAATTAGTGTTATGACACTGAGAATGTGAATGTTGAAGCGCTAGGCTTGAGAGCATAGTGGCATCAAAAATCACTACCGCAATGTTGAAGCCTCTGTTTATAGTCATTTTGGATTCAACATATAGCACTACAGCACTGGGTCAGAGTGTTGTGACGCTGGGCCACTAATAGTATTTTTATATATTTTTTTTAATCTAAATAATACCTGCCATTCCCTCATCCTTTGCTCACTCTCGCTAGGTTGGATGAGAAGAAAGGAAGAGAAGGGAGGAGAGAATGAATGACGAGGAAGTCGATTTTGGTCATTTTTTTTAATGTCATTCATGTTACAAAAATTATCTATTTGTTATAAATAATTATCCTCATAATTTTGTTTTTTTTTTATGATTTTGATTTCTATTGATATATCTCTTATATATCTACCAAAATATATATATCATATCTTGCTTTTGTAAGCTTTCATCGTGCAATTTTTAATATGTAATATATTTGATCATTTTGAATAATTTGATATAATTTTATTGCATTTTGATCAGCTAGAAATGTATATATGAATATTTTTATGTAATGCAAAATGAGTAGAAAAATGTATACTTAAAATAGATTGAAAGAGAAGTACTGTGATTTGATATGATAATACTGAAATGTACATGCTAAAATGATTGATAGAACTATTATGTACTGGAATGTGATACTGATCTGATTTGATGGATGTGGTGAACTAATCTGATTGAAAGGGTGTAATGATTCATACATATAGATATAGTTATATAATAACCCTATGTGATATCATCAAGATTTATTGATTCACTGATGAGAGTCATAAGAACATGAATATTAAAAATTTTTCATATTAGATATTAGGTAGTGACGCCATGAGTTTACATAGAAGATAGAATTTATGTGGGAGTTAAGTTAAAACACATGTACAAAGGAAGAAGGATCTAAGAGCTCCACAAGGGTTCAGCATCATGCCAGTAATCTTAAATAAGGGAGATTGCACCCTAAGAGCTAATATTAAAGGAGAATTTATTCTTGTCCAATAAAAATGAAAAGGAAATGCAACTAAGCTGTGGTCAGTGCTCGTTGTGCAAATGAGATGTTAAGATCATCTCCAATCGAAAATCTCATTTTACACTCCAAAATACAACAATGCTCTAAAATACAGTAATTTATCTTCAATCGAACTCCATTTTTAACATAAAAAATATATATCAAGTCTATCCTTTCTCCAACCGGAAGAAACGAAGAAAAAAATAGTGTATGTTAACAATGCGACGATTTTCACCACGCACAAAATGGCATTGAATCTAGCGTTTAGTTGGAGCTTTGTGGCTACTGCAAACGCTCGTTTGGGGTTCAGTTGAAGATGCCCTAACATCCATTATAGCTAAAAAGAAATGTAAATGAAAATTTATATTTAAAAAAAAAAAAAAGTTGCATTCACATCACAAAAACTTAAGGTAAGACCTCTTCTTTATCTATTGGAAAAATAAATATGAAAGTTTCATTTGAATTCAAAAAGACATTCGATATTAACAAGCTATATTTTGAGCAAAAAATAAATTGCTCGACCATTCTTTTTCCTGCCTCTTCTTCATATCTAGAGACCACCATTCATAATTGATGATGTAATAACAAAATTACAAGATAACATTTTTGTCTCTGTCATTGACTTACCGGTAAAGATTTATGATATTACAAATTTAGCAAAATTTTCATTTCAAATGATGTGCATGTATAAACCCTACACTATGAAGGAATAAGGATATTAGACATTAAATTATCAACTTCAAATATTGTTAAAAATTTATTCAAAACTTGATCTAAACATGTTCATCTCAAGATCAAATATTGCTTGAACCTGTGGCGGGGCCAAAAATAATATTCAGGGGGGTTCTAAATTAAATTTAATTATGTTTATCGTCTCATTTGAAAGGTTATAATATATTAAAATAACTCAGTTTGCCGTCTCATTATCGGAAACAAGAGGAACTGTAAGATCAAAAATAAGAATGCAGATAACACGACCTTAAAGCTTAGAAGACATAAACACTGCCACGAGTGATCTTCATTTCGGGGCGTGAGAGGAGCGAAAGAGAAAACGAAAGTCGTGCTCGAGGATGTGAGCCGCGAGAGAGGAGTAAAGGAAAAAAATGAACAATTGATGTTTTTCATATGTCCAGCAAAAGATTTTGTTGGCTTCTATGAATCTAGAAAGTGATAGTTGTATTTAAAAATTATCATAAAAAAATATCAAATCATATCCATCTAATATTCAAGCTAATTTAAATGCCATGTATTTTCTAATTATTTTATTCTCTCTTAATTTATATAAATAATTCATTTATAATGAAATTCTCTTTCTTTATTATTAAAATTTTAATTCAAATTCAAATATAATATTCTCTCTTATCTATTTTTTAACTCAACTTTAAAATCTAATATTGTTGCGTCCTGGAATATTCACGGCGGTAGATAAATATATAGTTTAATGTCTTAGCATTGTACGAAGATCCAGCACACAATCAGATAAATGAGATGGTGTAGCATTCATAAGAGACACCAGAGTTTTTACGTGAAAAACCCCTGAAAAGGGGGAAAAACCACTGGGCCTGGCCCAGTTTGAATGAATCCACTAGTATTTATAGTCGTTACAAATGAGGCTCTTCCTTGGGAGAAGGCCTTGGATTGATGTAGCAAATGCACATCATATAGATTACATTACATAGCAGGAATTACATATACATGTTTATCTGGTCGGAAGGACCGTAGTCGGCAGGAGACCGGGGTCAGAAAGACCGTTGTCTGTTGATGGAGGTCGGATGGACCGTAGTAGGCGACAGAGGTCAGAAGGACCATTGTAGTAGGGCGATACTTTGGTAGAACTTTGGACGTCTGGTAATGGCCCAGCAGAAGTCTAGGCCTCAGGTGGTGTTCCGACAAAGCAACGACGTCAGGTGGTAGTCTAGCGGAGGAGAGGTCCTTTGGCGAAGGTGAGGGCCTCTGGCAAAGGTGAAGGCCTCAGGTGAAGGTGAAGGCCTCAGGTGAAGGTGAGGGCCTTTGACGAATATGAAGACCTCATGTGATGTTATGGTAGAGCATACGGCCTTTGATGATAATCTGACGAAGACAAGGGCCTTTGGCAAAGGTGAGGGCCTCTGGTGAGGGTGAAGGCCACTGGTAAAAGTGAGGGCCTCTGGCGAAGGTTAGGGCCTCTGACGAAGGTGATGGCTTCTGGAGAAGGTGAGGGCCTCAGATGAAGACGTCAGGCCTGAAAGTCGGGTCTTCAGCAGAACGTTGGGCCTGAATGTTAGGCCTTCAGTAGCACGTCGGGTCTAAACGTCGGGCCTGAGCGTCGGGCCTAAACATCGGGCCTTAACGTCGGGCCTAAATGTCCGGCCTTGAGATGGTGGTGCGGCGAAACTCCGGTGGTGGTCCGGCGAGGCTCCGGCGAGGCTCCTGCGGTGGTCCGTCGGGCTTCCGACGGTGGTCGAGGAGGAGCTTCTTCCTTCTCCTCTTCCTTCTCTTCTTGCTTGGGTCCCCTTTGTGTAGAATGAAGGCTCTATTTATAGTTTTTCTGGAGTGGCATACCCAGTAAATAGGCGTGAGATCAGGGGCGAATTGGGAGTGGTTTGAATGAACGACCGATAATGAATCCTACGATCGTGCACCGTTCGTTGGACATTTGAAGGTCTTAATGATGTTGGAATTTGACGATCTTGGGCTCGTTGGATTTTTCTCGTCGAGCCACTCGATTCGAGTATAAGCTCGTTAAAATCTAAGACCGCTTGGTAACTCAAATTGCGGTTTGAACCTTCCAACAGCGCTTCGGGTCCTTGATTCGGACCCATTTGGACTTGGATTGGGTCGAATTTGGTGTCGTTGGATTCGTATTTCCGAGACGCTCAGTTTGACTATAAGCTCGCTTAAATCAGAGTTCGAGTGCTCCCGGAATTAATTTTTGAAGTTTGCAACTAGCTTTTGCCTCGAAATTCGTGCCCGATTAAGCTAATTTTGTGACCAACGTATCAAATATAATTTAGAATATTAATTTTATTTCCCAAAAAAAAATTAATTTTAAAATGGAATTTTTAGTATTAGTTATGTCAACAATAAAATATTTTAATATTATTCACGTGTTAAGCTATCAATCAGCCTAATGTTGCCTCCCATCTTTAGTTATTTTTGGCTTATTAATATTATTTATTTTATTTTTTAGCAGCTTAAATATATTAATATATTTAAATAAACTATATTTGATGTAGTAGTAGAGGTTTTCATGAACAGCCGTTCTCTGTCGACTGTCGTTAGCCCATGTTCCTGCCGACTTCCATGGCATTCGATTCCACGTGGCCCGGCTCGAATATTCAGGCGGGCCCACTGCATCCTGATCTCAATAATTCATTTAAATCCCACTATTGTAATTTCCGGTCCTACCCCTCCCTAAGTTACTAATTATCATTTTAAAAAATCATTAGTTTATTTAATTTATAAATATTTTGAAAATTATTGTTTTTTTAAGTATGAATTAATATTCATTATTTAAAAATAATAAATTATAGATATCTTGATTAAAAATTTGAATCAAATAATATTAAAGTTCTTGTATTTATTTTTAAATAAAACATTATTTTTTAAATTGGTTTTATGTGTATTATATTAACTTGAAAGAGTCTTATTGCTAGCACTATTATTTATTTTCAGCAGGCACGAGCATGCAAATGTTAATTTTAGGAAGTTAAAAATTTTAAACCATCATATAGAACACTTTTTTTAAATAGAAATGAATAATAACTTTTTTAATTAAATAATAAATTCATAAAAGTGACATTTTGATGATTTTATTTAATTTTTAAGGAGGATTAAATTACATCACACTTAAAATTACATTATTTATAGAACAAATATATAAATTATCTATATACTCACACATAACATTGAGATTTTAAATAAAATGAACAAAAATTCCCTCAATCTTTTTTTTTTAGATATTATGCTAATGAAAGCAAATTCATACATGCATAGGCAAGCTTCAAACCTAATACTTCTTAGTTGATAGCCAAAGCTACCAACCAACATATCAATGTGAGTTACGTCCCTCAACATTTTTGTTGGGTTTTTATGGATGTAGAATCCCATTAATACACTTCACAATGAAATCTAATTATTTTGGACCTTTACATATAATTAGTCTCATTGATGTCATATGATAAGAGCTTTATCAAAATTCAGGTGTCATCGGTCCAATAATTTAGTCAATGTCTTTCCCTCAACGAGATTCACTCAGGACTCCCTTTCTTTTTTCCAGTTATCAAAATTTCCACAAAGCAAAGAGGTCGTTGTTGGCAAAAATAATAGAGTGATTGCTTAATAACCAGATTATTTTAAAAATTAGATACATGAAAATCTCTTTTTTTAGATCATCTTCAATCGAACTGTATGTCACCGTATGTCGTCGACCATTTAGTCCATTTGAATTCAAAATCTCATGCCAAAGTTTGGTAGGTGAACAGTTCGATGCTAATGTAACTGTTCACATATGCAAAAAAATTAGGCTACGTGATACTGCATTTTAAAATTTTTCCAGAGTGAGAAATGAATTTTTCAGTTGGTTGGAGATGCCTATAAAATAAAGAGTACTCTATTGCACTTAAAATATAGGCATTTTCGTAGTTATTTGCAAAGTTTGCAGGCTTTTATGTAGTCCCGCGCCCACCGCCCATGCGACTCCGGATCTTGGATAAACGCGGCTGCAGTTTTTTTATTATTTACAGAAAACTCCCTGTAATGCTTTTTATTTATTAATGTAATATAAGGAAATTATTTAATGTGTCCTCTAACTAATTTGTTTATTCAATTTTGTTGTGATTATTTTATATAGTGTAAGAAAATAGGAGAATTTATATACGCAGCATTTAAAATTGTATTATATTATTTATAGGAACAGTACTCAAAATTTAAACAGCAGAAATAAATAACATTATTTTTGTCTCTCCATTATAATTTTATCATGATGCCACAATGGTTTAGTGGTTAATTTAGTCATCCTTCTTTAAAGACTTCTTGTAAGTGCACACGACGTCAGTCACATAAATCTTCTTTCCGCACGTGATAATAATATATTTGGGAGAGATGGGGGCATTGATGGGAGAAATTATTGTGCAGTTATCGGACAGTCCATAGGAGAATCAGAATCCGCCAAATTACCCGGTACATAGTGATACATAGCAGAAAAATGGCATGGTAGATCTTGATTCTCCTCTGGACGGCATCGGGCGACCGCACAAAATAATTTCTCCATTGATGGAGGCTTGGTTAGACGATACAAATGGGAACATGAGCCTAGAGGAGGAGCTAGCGAATCCGAGGAGCATGTCAAAAGATTGGAGGTATAGTGGAGAGACATATCTAGGTGGATCTAATGTGAGTGATGGAAAAGACTAGTTGGAAATTTGGAATGTTGAAAGTTGGCGCTGTTAACTTTTATTAACGCAAGGTTGAATTAATGTTTCTAATTACACTCGGGGGGCATGTACGTGATTGTGTTAATTTAGTAGATACTTCCCCTCCCTTGGTAAATCTTTTGCGTTGTATGTTTTTTTGAAGATGGCATAAGTACTCTTGGTTCAACTATTCGTCACACTTTAGATTTGGAAGGCGCTATCTCATGGCAAGGAGACATGATAAAGGGATCGACCTTAACCCCGGTCCGAGTCGGCGTCGTTCGTGGCTACGACGACTCGGGTCGTTCACCCCCCAACAGAGCAACTCAACTAGCTTCAATTCTGCATCCACTCTAACCCATATTTGCGTCAGCTCTCTCCCTTCCCCCTCTCTCTTTATAGATATTATTCATCTACTTATCTTAAGATGAATAATACATATAAGATAGATAATACGATCAATGTTTATAAAAGAAAAAAAAAAAAACTCTTAACCTTCTCAAAATGCAACAAAACATTGCTTTAACTCTATTTAAATTATAAGGAGAAAATCACAAAACCCTTTGCAAATTATAATGAAAAGTTTTAAAACCTTTGCAAAAACTCTATTTCATCATAAAAATGGTCAAATAGGTTTTAAAACCTTTAGATTTACTTTGAAATAGCACAATATATAAATAATTTATAGCCATCTCAAACTATATGCAAAAACTAAAACACATATTAATAAAAAATTTATTAGAAAATATGTATATTATTTTTACTACAAAGGTCAAAATACTAAAAATTTAAATAATATTTACAATAAATATAAAATGTTATAGCAAGCAAAAGTCATTATATTTCAATAATATAAATTTAATAACATCATCCTACTATGCTAGTGATTATTCAAGCATATTACGAACATTTTCTTAAATGTGTTGATAAAAAGGTTAAAAAGTTATTATTAAGATCTTAAATTTGAATTTTATCTATATAAGAATTGAAGAAATTATTATGTGCAAATATTGGACAGGAAAAACCGTCCGATTTTGTTGACCCAGTCCGGTTCTCATGATTTACTTTTTTTTTTTTTTGTTCTCTAAAATAAAGTTTTGAAGAAGAAATAATAATTATGGAGGGGCTAAAGTGCAAACGTGCTCACACTAAACGCGGGAAGGGTAACTGTACGATTCTGCATCCATTTATGATACCTGATCAGAAAATACGAATATCGAAGCATTGTTCTCCGGCTTACTGTGCTCTTGTCTGCGAATAGAAGATAGAAGAAAGAAGACGACAGGAAGAAGATGGTGGAGACGAATCCTCCGTCTATCGCTTTGCGCCGCCTGCCGGCGCCGTTCATCAGCCCGTGGCTACGGCGACTCGGGTCGTTCACCCCCCAACAGAGCAACTCAACCAGCTTCAGTTCTGCATCCACTCCAACCCATCTTTGCGTCAGCTCTCTCCCTTCACCCCTCTCTCTCTCTATAGATATTCTTCATCCACTTATCTATTGCTGTGTTTGAATGAGTGTGAGCTTAGTTTTTTGAGTTACTCTGTCAGCCCTTCTTATTTTGGTTTAATGCTATGTTTAGATTTGCACACAGTTACATTTATTGGGTTGGAGAATATTGTTTTGGAGATGTTCGTTTGTTTATTTTCCGGTATTTTTCTCCGGTGCAGTTGTCAGTCTGAGTATATTTTGGTCTATTCTCTAGATTTGACGGATACAGCTTCCAAAGCCAACGCAAGGTTGAATTAATGTTTTTAATTACGCTCTGGGGCATGTGATTGTGTTAATTTAGTAGATGCTTACCCTCCCTTGGTAAATCTTTTGGGTTGTATGTTTTTTGAAGACGGCATAAGTACTCTTGGTCCAACTATTCGTCACACTTTAGGTTTGGAAGGTGCTACCTCATGGCAAGGAGACATGATAAAGGGATTGAGCTTAACCCCGGTCGGAGTTAAGGCAGTACACCCCGGTGACACGTGACTCGATGGAAGACCAGTTTTGTTATCACAAATATAAACATGTATATTCAAAATACATCATAATATATATACACCAAAATAACCATAGAGAGTGAAGGTTAAAATTTTAATTTATTAATAAAATTCAAATAGGCCGTATATCCGAACAATAGTACTAATACAATCAATTGAATATAAATAAGATAGATGATAGGAAAGTACCCAACCCTTAGAATTAAAAGAATAATAAACTAACACAAAATATAAAATATTAAAAATAGTTTACATTTGGTAATTTTGCTCATGAAGTGGTGGTCTTCTAGACACACTTGCAGGACCTACTGTAAAAAGAGACAATATATGAGTTTGATAAATCAAACACAACAAGTAACTCCTATCTATCAAAGCATAAATAGCAAATGACTAGGGCATGCAGCATGAATAATAAAAAAGTGGGAGTAATAACCTATCATTGTTATATCAAAGTAACAATAATAGATTTCATATCTCCCACATCAAATTCTAGTATGCTGATGTGTATGCAAAATAGTTACTAATGTCAAATTATTTCAATGGTTACAAATACACCATAGTAGGTATACTTGTACCTCAAATAACTTGTTAGTTATTTATCATTTTCAATTCATATCCAATTATATTTAACATTCATATGCATATATTATCATCGGTTTATCAAATATCCATCAACGGGAAGGTAAACATCAACTCAAGGAAATCCTGTGATTTCTTGTAGAGTCGTTCGTCACTATGGGAGTCTGTCGGCCCTGGGCCTTGGCTAGCCAATAACCAATAGGGTTCAACCGACATACATATCAATGCACTCATGCATATGATTTTCTAAAAGTTTCATAAGAATCATTCAATGAATTTTTATAGTTTTAACCTCACAAATATTCTTTTGTAATAAAATATGAATTGCCAATAATAATATTCATTGCATTCAATTAGAGCATGTGTATGAAAATATAAAAAAATGGTATACCAGAGATTATGCAGTAATAAATCATGAATATTCTATTTTTAGAAACATGCTAATTTATTACGAGCATATCTATAAAAATAAAATAAATTGCAATAGCAAGACTGGAAGTAAAATCAGTTACTAAAAACATATTGCAAATAGCACGAATTTATGCCCTTTAACAAGGAAGGATATGCTAACACTTAACAATTATTTATCTCTAGGCGAGCAACACAAAACGCTATGCCAAAGTTGTTCAATCGACAAAATTACCAGGGTAACAACTTGAAGGTACTTCACGTGAAAATCTAAACTCAATTAAAGAATTAAATACACAGAACAAAATGTTGAATTTAATCAAATTTAAAGACCTAAATCCATTACCAAAATAACAAAAAAATATATAATCACAATTGAAATCCAACTGATGCAGAACTAAGTATGAGATGCGTTTAGTTCATTTAGATTTTGCACAACTTGTGATTAGAATAATCGTAGAACAAAACTATAGCACTTTAAAACGATGAATCAAAACAAATAGGGGTCAAACCCGCTTAGGCCAAATTACGTAGCAAGAGATTTGAAGCTTTTCCAAATAAATCAAGAAAATAACACAATGACAAGTAGTAGTTTCAAAGAAATCCCTAATCTAACAACAAGAACTAGTAAACATAAAGGTGCACTTAAGCCCTACGTTTACTAAGCTTTAGCATGAGCAGTAGAGAGTTGTCCGTCGTGACTGTCATCAATTCCAAGAGAATTTAGAGTTAGGAAATATAATGAAAGGGGAAAGAGAAACCTTCGTCAAGGAGTTGTGGAGACCCTCCACTTGACGCCTTCGAAGTGCTCGTCAATTGCCTCCACTAAGGTGTCCAGAATACGCTCCAAGTAGTCCTCGATGGTGTGATCAATCATTGGATTCACGTCGAAGAAGGTGGACTGTAGGATGTCGGTGAAGCCGTCCTCGTCCCCGTTATTCCATATTCAGTCTCCGGATCCGCCATTCATGGGTAGTGGAAGACAAGATCTCCTTAGTACTTGATACGACTCTTGAGAGCTAGCAAAGAGAAAGAAGTTTCTCTTGCAAGTGGAGAGAAAGCAAACCCCAAATTCCCTTCCAAAAATATGAAATAGTTTCAGGTTTTAATCCAGAAATCTGAGAGAGATTTCAGATTTCTGTGATTGGAAGAAAGGGGTTTGGAGGGGGGGAATTATGGCTTCAAGTCCAATGGGGAATTAAAAGGAAGAGAGGAGATTTGAGAGAGAGGGGAGAGTCGGTTAGGGAGAGGGGAGGCCGGCGGGATTGAAAGGGATGGGGGGGGGATTTTTATTTCCTAATTCCAATAGTTGGTTTGGGAAATAATTTAGGAATTGGTGCTTTGAGGAAATTCGGCTAAGAGGGATGAGGGGTTTAATTGTTTCCAATAGAGGTAGTGGGGATTTAGGAAACAATTCCTAAAGGGAGCCAATAATGGGGTCGGCGGCTATTGGAGCAAGGGGGAGATTTGGGAGGTGATTTGGGTGAATTTAATAGGCTAGAGGGATTAGGAAAGTAATTAACTAAATCCAATTTGAATTTGAAATTCAAATTGATTTAATTAAAGAACTTTCCTAAAATAGATTTTTTATATTAGGAAAGATTTTGAAATTTGCAATAATTAATTTTGAATTTCAAATCTATCCACATTCAACTCAATCTAAAATAGGAAACAAGCTTGGATGGGGGAAGAGGGGGCTAGACCGGCGGCTAGGGAGATGAGGGCCGGCGGCATGGGGGCTCGGGCATGGGTTTGGCCGTGGGGTTGAGAGGGGAAAATTTGTGCGGTTAGGTAAAGGGGAGGTGATGGCTTGACGGAGGAGGAGATTGGATGCAAGATGAATCGAAGTGGAGGTGAAGGAAGGAAGAAGCGGCAAAGGATAAATATGAGAATCACGAACCCGGCCGTCTCCAAGGTTGGTGGGTGATCCGCTCTCCCTCTCCTAGGGATCTCTCCAACATTCTCTCCAAGAATGCTCAAACACTCTCAGAAGAACTCGCGCAAGAAGAAAATTTCTAATTAATCATTCCTTAACCTCATACGATGAGAGAAGGGGCTATAAATAGCCAAGTACAATGACTCAAGAAAAATAAAAGACAACCTTGCCCTTTGGGCTTACAAACAATAATCCCCACTAAAAGGGTACAACTGGAAACATAGTAAAAACAAATACATGACACAAGAAAATAGAAAAATACATGAATAGAAAATAACATAAATACTCAGAAATATAAGGACTCGATCGTGGCCGTAGATTGACGGCCACGCCTCTGATAAACCTTCCATGAGCTGATGTCCCCATCACTATCATAATATTATCCATCATAATAGAAGGAAGAAGAAACATTCAATGGTCCTTGGCAAAAATTGGTTTGATGAAGGAAAATGATGAGGAAAAGCTTTGAAACTCTTTATTTTTTTGGTCAAAATAAAAAGAGGTAGGAAATGGAGGCGAAATAGATATTTGACTTATGAAGGAGAGGTGTTCCTTGATTTAAGTGTCAGATCAAACGAAGAATTAAGTTTGAGAACTTCTCAGAAGGCATTTTTGACGGAAAGATGCGAAGAGGCGGAAGAGGTTTGATGGTTGTTTCGCAAGGGGAGGGGAAAGGGATGTATGGTGGTTGCAGAAGAAGGAAAATAGATGCTCTAGATTCTCTATTGGATTTAAATGGTGAAAGAAAGGAGGGTGGAAGAGTTTTGAAAGGTGGTTAAATCACGTGATTTACGCGATTGGAGAGAGAAACTTGAGTTAAAAGGGAGTGAAACAATGGCTGGTACATGGGATTAGTTGCGATCTTGGCAAAGGAGGAGCGGCTTGCTCGGCTGGCTCTCGCGCGCGGAAGAATCCAGACCGGTGTGATCCATCATTACACTTTAAAACACATTCCATGAGTTAAGCTCAATTTAAATTATTTTGTACTCATAAAAGAAAAGTTAATGTGTCATAATTATAACTTATAAACAATATGAGTAAGCAAATGAAAGTAAATAAAATTTTATTTTATAAATGAAAACTTGTTAATAGCTCAACATGAGCTCAAATAACAATTAATAGAAAGAGATGGGAAGAAATAGCTCCCACTAAAAGTACAAATAGAAATGTTGTTTAAACTTAAAATATCAAATGAAATTTTATAGCTTAAAAGGTTGCTCCTGTGTAATGATTCAGAAAATGGCCTATTGAATTTTCCTTGAAGCAGTTTATAACATGTGAATTTGATTATTCAAATTTAGCAAATAACTCTTTTTTTATTGAAGTGTAAACAAGAAGATATTGTGGCATGCAATATGAACAATAAAAAATGCATGATTTATTATATAATGGTAGTGTAATATGTGTCCTCAAGTTATCATATTAGAATAATATTGTATCATATAAATTAAAAAAGTCAGATGCTGTAAGATAGTTTTAGTATGATGATATTCATGATTATTTGTATGATAAATTATAAGCAATGCA